CAACGCTGCAGTCACAAATGACGCCTCAGCACCCGAGGCAAGGAAAACGCGAACCTTCGCCTTTCGAGTTCTTCCCTCAACTCGTGCCACTCCGGTCATCAGCCACACACTTGGCGAGTGTAGACAGCACGATACAACATTCTTCTCCGTTACTATCTCAGTCGGTTTCTCCTGGCTGTAATCTGCTCTATCCAACACATCATGTATTAGCAGGTGGTGCTTCCTCTGGCATTTCGTGCATCTCGAGCCTCACCGACATTCTCTGGCCATACAGCAGAGTCTCTCTCGCTGCAGAAAAACCTTTCTCCCTTCCTGTGGCAGCGACTTTAGCTGCTTCTCTGCATCTGCGACCGATATCGCCATGCACTGTGCCGTTGCCGTGGGCCTTCGCACGGATCGTTCTAATAGCTTCCTGGCAGTATCACTCTGTCGTCCGTGCGTTACCTGGTAAGACGCGCCGTGCTCCTGTACCTGGCGCAGAGACATCCCGTAGCACTACCGTTCGACCAGGTACGTCTTCATCTCAGGTTCGCATTACTCCAAGATTACCTGCTTTGCAATTTCTTGCAGTACCGGGGCCATTTAACCTATATCGGCGCTATACTTGGTGTCCACCTCGCCATCTTCTGTCATAGCGAGTGTTGCCCACACCTCTACATCTCGGCAAACACGGACAACGTATTGGTGAAACAACTCCTCTGACCGCTGCTTGCCTTTCAGCAATGTTTTCCACGCTTTATCCGGAGTCTCTCCGAGCGAGGCAAGCAACTCTCGCTTTGCTTCCTCGTAATTTTTGCATCCAATACATATCCTCTCCGATTTGCTACCCACTAGCGCGATGCGCAATCGCAGCAGCCATTCGCATTCTTCGAACTGCAGTCTGGTTTCCGGCGAGGAGACTCCACAGCTCTGCGCCTAGTCTACCTAACCCAAACCATCATGCAGTCCCGACATTTGAAAGAATATACTGGCATGTGCTTCTTTGACCTGGCGAAAGCCTTTGACACTGTTTGGCATACAGGCCTGATAGCCAAGTTGGGTGCCTATGGCATTGGTGGCAACCTGCTTTGTTTCTTTGAAAGCTACCTAACTGACAGGTTACAGGCTGTACGCGTCGGCAATACCCTCTCGTCTCCCCAGGCAATTAATTCTGGTGTGCCACAGGGGTCAATCCTGGGGCCACTATTTTTTTTAGTCTACGTTAATGATCTACCGATGTCTGTCCCTAATGTTTCACTGTTTGCCGATGACACCACAGTTTCCGCTTCAAGTAGTTGCAAGCAATTGCTAGTCAATGACCTCCAGAAAAAGATAAACTCCACCATTTCTTGGATGTCGACTTGGAAGCTGAGACCGAACACTAGCAAGACCAAAGTGATGTTCTTCTGTAGCGGTGCTAGTGATCAGTTCAGTAATGTGTCTTTATCATGTCCTGGCAGCTCATCGACCAAAGAAATTGTCCATGAACATAAGCACCTTGGTATAATTATTGACGACTGTCTAGCATGGGCTCCTCATGTAGACTATATTTGCAAGAAAACTAGTAGTGTTCTCGGCATACTATATCCTCACCGTTCTCATCTGCCAAATACATGCCGTTCTATGTTTTATCGCTCGTATCTATTACCTATTTTCCAGTATGCATGTCAGTCTTGGTGTAGTCTAAGTCAACATCTTGTGAACAAACTTGAAATCCAACATAAATCTCTTCTTAATATATTGTTTAACAAGCAGCGTTTATTTCCTAGTCTTGAGCTCTATTGTATCAGCAATACTCAGCCACTGCAAGATAATCGCAAACAGCAGCTTTGCATTTTGATCCACAGAATTTGCCTAGGTAAAATTCCCATTCATCCGTCTCCGTATTCAATTGTTTTTCTCTGTCCCGGTCCACTCGTAATAGTCTCTCACTTCCCCGTGCTAATTCAGCCGCATTTACCAACTCTCCTCTGTTTTTGTCCTACAGCCTTTGGCTGCAACTTCCCCAGCATGTTAAGACATCAAAATGTCTTTCCCGCTTTAAAAATGCACTCCGATCGCATATTAAATGTAGCATGATAGGATCTCCTTGCTGGATTCTTGTCTATCCTTCTTTCTTCTCTTTTTCTATATTCCTTTCTTTTCTTTTTTGCCGTGGTTGGCGATCACCCCTCTCTCGCACTTTGCGTGCCAATTGGTCATGGACCACGAGTTGAGTGAAATAAATAAATAAAATAACTCGTTCTTGGAACAAATGTCCTCGAACAGGTCAAGATAACGCTCCAATGGCTGCGTTCCATCATATGAGGGGATTTTCATTAACGGTTTATGCCCACAGCTGTGACTGGGAGCTTCCGCTGTTCCTCCCATCGCGCTCTCACTGGCGGCTTTACCATCACCCTCATACGCGTTGGCGATGCGCTCATTAATCTCCTTGAGCGTTTTTCTAAACTCGGTTCGGAGCGCTTCCTCTGGCCGTCTGGCACTGCGCTCCTCACGATCCTCGTGCTGGCGGAGCCTCTGCTCCAAATGTTCCCTGAACTCACTGCCTTCCAATCCTAGCAGAATTCCATTGGCAATAAAGCGGGCTTCCAAAATTTGTAGCTGTTCTGGTTCCTCTGCCATGCTTGCTTGTATCCTGGCGTGGTCGCCAAATGTTGTGAACCCTCTAAGATTCTCTTACCTGTCAGGATCGAACGACCACACGGCACGAGGACAACTCTTTTCTTTTCCACAGCATATTTCACTTCATCGAATAATTAAAAATGAACACTAATAACACCAGCTATTTATAGTATGCAAAACAGCGTACATGTGTATCAAAACATACAGATATAAAACATAACATGACAGCGTATACTGCAAACCGCACACAGCGCATATAGCGTATGCCATGCTGCAACATCAGCGGTACGGCGGAGTCGCATTACAACATTGCAATGAATACAATGCCATAAGCGCGAAGGCCTTTCCCACTTGAGAACAGGTGGTTTGCAACAGCAACAAAGAATGCCGACTGTTAGGGGGTGATTATATGTGCAGCTCCAGCCCGGGCTGGTCGACAGGCGGGCCAGCCCGCCTGCAACGGGATCTCGGGGTTGTACACAAATCCACACAAAACCTGTGGTGCGTTTACATGGCAAGCGGGCTGGCCCGGCGAGGCAGGATCCCGCCTCGAGGCACCCGGGATCCCGGCTAGGCGGGCCGGAAAAAGCACATATAAACAGACCAGCCCGGGCCAGAGTTATATTATTATGGTGTCTACACCGCGTTCATACTACAAAATAGGTACTTTTACCTTTTGAGGGTAGCTATAAAGAGGATTCCCGATATTGTCTTGAAAATCTATGAAGCTTTTTGTACAGCAACAAGAAGGACGTACAGTGAGCACTGTTTATTTGTCGACATGCATGATTTACATTAACGTGGAAGGGGAACTACTTGCAAAATACTTTGATATGGACAGCTAAAAATGTGAAAAACAGGGAAAAGAAACGAGGTGATACAACACACCAAACATGTGCCACAGCGCGAAAAGAAATCAGCAGAAGAATACTTCAAAGTACATTGTATGAGAAAAAAAGTTTTTAGGTTTATAACCTGAGTATGGCCTGCAGCCCTGCGTTTCAGCCCGGGGCAGCACACTACAGTCGTAGTGTATTTGCTACATACTCACAACGGGCTGGCGTGTGCTCAGCGCATATAAACTCACTGCGGGCTGGCGACCAGCCCGGCCTTGCACATGTATCCAGCCCGGGCTGGAGTTGCACATATAATAGGCCCCTTAGGACCGTTTCGGTCTGATTTCTTCACTTTTAACTATTATTATTATTATTATACGCATTCCCGCGTTGAAGTGTAGCAGCAGTATGCTGCGTCCACAGCTTCGCTTATGCAGAATGGCTTGGGTGAGAGGAGAGGGGAGAGAAAGCAACAAGGCAACCAACATCTATGAAATTGGCCACAATAACATGAAGAGAACCAACCATTACCTACATATGCATGATTGCACAAGAATGGGGACGACAAAATATAATGGCTATAATCATTGTGCCACAAAACCGGTACACAGGAGATCTGTCGACAATGTAACGAAACATAAAACTCAGTTACTCAATACAGGTTCCACTAAATTACAAGAGAACAACGCTACAACGTTAGAATTGCTGCTAAATTATCGCAATTACTTTTAACTATACGTTATTTATTGGCGCAGTATCCGAGTTCCACCTGATGAGCCGTTCCAAACAATACCGCGAAACGTATGTCGTCCATAATACTGTCATGCATGAGGAGTACTGTTAGATATTGGCGTCCGGTTTTGTACAATTGTTTTTCGCAAAGTTTACCCCTTTCTTTATCTCTGATATTCCTGACCCTAGTTGGGTGGTGTGTTGCTTTCCTGCCTCGAATTGTAGTTAGGCCGCGTTGTCATGTCATTAACTGGTCCCGTCATGGTCTTGTAACAGTCGTCTTTCTTTGTTGCCGTGGGATTTAGCTTGTGCACATTTTCGCTGCTCTCACCTTCCCCTCATTGGTCCTACCAGAACCTTGAACCGTCCAAGCTGGATGGCTGTTGGTTTGCGCACTGGAGGTGTGTGAGAGCTAGGTCTCAGGTCGTAGAATGTTTTAGTAACATGTTAGTGTTATGCCCTGTTATCGCATTCTCTGACTGCTTAATATCTTGTTACAGCCATGGATAGTTGCTTCATAACTCATTTCCATCTGATTTCTTCTATTTTAAAAAATAATCACGAAATATTATTCATGTTGCAATCGTTCAAATCTGCATTCATTTAAACCTTTACTTAGTTTGTATATAAAGCAGCATCCAGATGTTTGTGATTTTTGTCTGATCAATTAGTGAGTCTAACTCGGATGAAAGCACAGTCTTCATCCTCTTCTTCGTGTTCTTCTTGTATGCACTCATATCCTTTCCATTAGAGTGTGCAATTTAAAAAATACATATCGAGTGTGCTGTTGAACACTATAATGTAAGGTTAGGTACAGATTTGACTTACTAAGACACTGCAACAACAGCTCGGCATGCTGATGGCCACCTAGCAATGCCGACAGCGATGCTGTGTCGGCATTGGCTGCATTCAGTTGATCAACAGATGGAGTGAGACGTGATAGCAGTAGTTCAGTGTCCTGGATGGTACGATAGAGAGCTGCGGAGGGTAAATGCTGAAGCACTCGTGACATGCACGAGTCCTCGACGCCTGTCGCAGAAGCAAATACCGTCAGGTGTAAAGGAATCAAATTTTGATACCAATATCAGGAAAGCGAAGGCCCATGGTTACACAATTTACATGTACCAGCCTGTGTAGGTTTAAGGGAAGCATAAAATTGAAGTCTGAAGAATATACTGAGAGTTCATTGTTACACTATTGACTACCGTATAGTTTGTTGGTGAACATCGCTGGTTGAAACCTAAGATGACGAGCTCTTGCTCGAGCGACCAAGAACAATATTGGAATTAGCGGTTAACTAAAGTGGTTAGGACAGAGATATCCTATCGACTATGTTTTCTCTTAGAAAAAACTCAATCATGCTGATAGAAAGCGGCGGGTGCTTCCCGGAAAATTCTCGAAAATCACCAGCGACCCCTTCCGTGATGAATATTTCCAGAGAAGAGCCCAAAAGAGAACAACCTGTAAGGACATCACAGTGTTAATAATATGGACTTGTTAGAGATGTTTGGGGGGAATGTTCATCATTTCCAGGGAAGTGAATTATTATTTTATTATTATTTATTATGCTCTATTCGCGTTAGCATCAGTGAGCTTATAAAGCTCACATATAGCCTTCGCTTAAGCCGCAAGAAGGAGCAAGTGAGCGCGAGGAAGCGCAATGCACACAGAGCGTCAAAACAAAACAAAAAACAAAAAAACAGAAAAAAAGAGACAAGCTGCAAGAAGGAGCAAGTGAATGCGAGGAAGCACAGTGCACATCAAGCATCACAATCACAAAAAAGACAAGATGGAAACGCAAAGTTATGTCCATTGTTGCATTAGCGGCTACATACAACCTTCACCAGGTCCTGCCACTGAGGGCGATCCTGGGCGAGCTGCTGCAGCCTGTTGCAGTCATCTCCATTATCTATATATAAAGGTATAAATTATGTCCATTGTTTCATTAGCAGCTACATACAGCCTTCACCAGTTCCCGCCACTGTCGACGGTCTTGGGCAAGCTGCTGCAGCATGTTCAAGTCATCGCCAGTCTCTAGGGCGGTATTATTTTTCAGCTTTTTGAGATCATTATTGAGCGTTCGCGGGAGCGTTGTTCTTGGGCGTCCCCTAAAGCTGGGGCCGTTACCCCCTAAGAAGTAAGCTCCCATGGCACGTCTGGCTGGGGCTGCCTCTTCCAAACGCAGCACATGACCAAACAGCCTCCATCTAGCATCTCTGATGATTTGGCTCACGGGACGAGATTCTGTGCGTTTATACAGGGAAGTGTTCTTTATTATGAGCGGGTATTTAATGCCTATCACTGTTCGCAGCTGCTGCCTGTGGAACGAGTCCAATTTCCGCTCCTGTGTCCCCGTGAGACTCCACGTGCCACAGTTATAAAGCAGGATTGGTAGAATGAAGCTATTATAGAGGCGCACTCGTAGAGACTCTCTGATGTGTTGCCCTCTCAGCCATATCACCCACATCCGGTGAAGTGCGCTTGTAGCCAACCGCTTTCGTCTGCCTATGTCCTCATCCACTCCAAGCATCGAGCCCAGCTTTATTGTGTGTCGCCACTGTTCCTCTATTCGATCCTTTTGTCTGCTTATCATGGTGTGTTCCGTCTTCCCCTCATTCATCTTCAAGTTCCACTCTGCTAACGAAGAGGATATTGTAGGAAGGCAATCTTTTAGATACTGTTGGTCGGTACTGATGAAGTCCACATCATCTGCATATTCCGACTCTCCGAAGTGAAGGGAAGTGAAAGGGGAAGAAAAGTCTAAAGGCAGTCGTTGCCTGAATTACAGCTACACTATACATGTAGCTCGGTGGTTAGAGCATCACTGGTACCTGGGCGAATGTCCGTGGTTCGAGCCCTGGTGGTGACTGTCAACCGTATGAAAGCCTAACAACAAATTGATTCACAACTCGAACTGGATATACTTTGTGTTAAGTACCTGTTTTATTTGTCGTTCCGTTAGACAAGTCTTCACCACTGTAAGTGGACCCAGCCGTTATGGACGAGACCGAAAACAGCAATCCAAACATCAAAATGAACTGGAAAGCTGACGCCAGCCCCATCATGGATTGGTGCTCAGTCACAAATCGTAAATCAATCGTCTAGCAAGCCCACAAAAAAAGATTACGCCTTGCGGAGATGAACATTAATCGCTGAGGAACACACTCGCCACCTTACGTTATCCTGCCCCAAACCAAGACGATCACCGTACATATATTAAATCACAGTATATATGGTGGCAGTTGGTCGTCGGAGGGTGTTTTAGCTCTTGTTATGTACTACCCCTCTACGGATCTCACAACTTCCAATGCATGCCGTCAAGGTAAAAGACTCAGACAGCTACACGTAGAAAATGCTGCCTACAACATTGGGAAAGGGCGTCATCAATGTAGACATAAACATGAATGATAGGACTGGAAAACCCTCAACCTGGAATCTAAGGAAAGAACAGATATTCTTACAGCCCATGGTCCAAGTGGGTACTGCCAACCACATTTTTTAACCAGCAGGTAATGGACCACTGACTGTGCTCGTTAGCGTTATCTCTATTACCCGCTAAAGACTTGTACATGATATTGTAGTTCTTTTCTCAATAAATGTGTGTGTGCTCCTACGCAAGAGTAGGAGGAAGACGACCAAAGCGTATACCAACACACAACAGACAGGTATGTAGGTGAAGAGAAAGTGGAACCTATTCCATAGATAAATATACAGGTATTCGCTATAATTATCAGTTGGTCTTCTAGTCAACTCCTTTTTTAACTCAAAAGAAGAGGTGGGGGATTGGGGGGGATGTTTCCCTGACTGACAACATATTTTCTGCTCACAGGCATTTCAGCTCTCAACGATAATTTTTCATTCTTGACTGATACATCCAGAGCTGAACTGTAGGTATCATTGCTTCGGGTCATGTGCCAGCCCTGAGCACAATACCGTAAAGGTAACTCAACGACTAGGGAACTGATATCTTACAGGCCCACTTGGTTGATCTATAATTAAGGATATCGTCACGCTATTGTGTCAACTTCAAAGTGACAGTACTCGTCAGTGACTAGCTACACTTTGAAGAACTAAGCACCTGGCGCTGACAACAACAAGGAGTTGGCAATAACCCATCACCTGCACCCTTCACCAGTTCGCTAAGGGCAGACACTACATCAGGACACCCTTCAGTCAGCAAATTGGACTTCCCTGTGGACTGAGAATAGTAGACCTGCTTACAGTCCTGCAACATGACTGGGCGTCAGCTGTTTGTGCTTGCGGATGTGCATAGGTCATCGTAGTCGAAATATCCAGGGCATTTGACAAGGTTTCACGGGAAGGAATTTATCTACAAGGCTGCCACATTAGGAATACAAGTACGTGAATGTCAACTTCAGTAGATTCTACACTGTCCCCAGCATCGATCACTCTGCGTTGCGCTTAGCTATCATTGCCGTTCAATATCACAACTGGAGTTCCTCAAGCATTCTGGGGCCATCACAGTTTCTCATGTATGTGAACAACGCAGGAACAATTCTCCTGGGGGAACGGAGATGGCCGCCTACGCTGACTATACAACTCTGGACAGCATAAAACTACTGCTAGTAATCATACCCAGGCTGAACTACAGTAATCCATTGATCGTCTGCTAACCAGGGCGCACAATGGAAGGTGTGATTTGAGCCCACCAAGTCCCAACTCATTCATCTCTCCGAACACTACGAGGCTTGGGCGCTTCCACACTCCAGCTTCGGAGGCCATGCTGTGGGACCCGCAGCAGAGGTTAAGTTGTCCAGGGTGACATTTGATGCTTCCCTGACCTTCTGCTTACACCTTCATAATGTTACACTTAGTGCCGCTTCCAAGCTTGGTTTCCAGAAGCATGCATACAAGTACCTACCCACGCAAGGAGAGGGCACTATCTACCGTTGCCTTATTCGACCAGTACTAGAGTACTGGGCGCTGCGCCCATCCAAGTGAATCCAACCTTGCACAGCTGAGCAGCGCCCAGGGGGCGCGCCCATACCATTGGTCCCTTAGTTATTGTTCACAGCCTTGCTGCACTGATACTAGTGTACGCGCTTGCTTATCTGCACAAGATTCAGTGTCTGGATGGCCCGCCTCAACTAGTGGCCATGATTCCGCCCAGCTCAGAGCTCAGAACCATATCTGCCATATTGAGTTTTGTTCGTGATATTCAGTTTTATTTACCTCTTTAAACAAACGGCGAGGAGAAAACATCTTAGAATCGAACTTGGGAGAACCAGTTAGATGTAAACAAAGACAATGTGTGATTTATAACTATGAAACTGAGAAATTCACAAAATAAATATTCGACAAGGAGTGTAACGGACAGGCCGTTTCAATGGGATTATCATCTTCATCAAGCTAAACCAACATGTTGTATATGACGAAAAGGTGTGAAAGCGGGTAATCAGCGTAGCGTGCACCTCAGGTGTTAGACGTGGGGTGAGAACTGTTACACCATCCACCTCCTCTAGTGTAGCTCAAGCCAATACAACATTATATTTAAAATGATACTGATACGAGAAGAGAACCCAAGTACACGTCGAAGAAGAAGAGTTGCAATAACTTCTGAAATGGACTGGGATGGAGAGCCAAGGTTTAATGTATACAAAGGAGAAAGGACTAAGGAACTAGAGGTTACGCTATGCTGTCCACTAACACCACCAGTTACTAAACAATCAGCTTATGCAGTAACATTGCACGACACTGACCGACGGTACTGACGTTCTACAACTAACTGGCACACTAAGCAGGTACTGGCGACGGGCAAATGCTGCCATTTGGCGGAAGGTGCGTCGCTACACGCCTATCTTGCGTGACACCTTACTGGCGAGGTAATCTACGTGTGGGACAAATGAGAGCTTGTTATCGATAAGGATACCAAGTCAGCGAGTTTCACTCACTCCCCTTTTAAAAGGTAGTACCACCCAGCTCAACAAGAACTGGTCTTTGTACGTCAGGAGCATTTTTCGGCAAGATCCTCATGGCCACGGTTTTGTCAACATTAACGCTCATGCCAAGTGATCTTAGTTCATAGTGTAGCTTAGCGAGAGCCGAGGAGACAACATCGGCGCATACTATTGGATCTCGTGAGGAAGCGTACAAAGTCTTGTCATCGGCAAACATGAGCAGCTTTATTTGAATTTGCTGAACCAAACTGACAGAACTGCCCTGTGACAGGGGAGCGAATGATGAGCGTCAGATCAATATTCATCTAAACACTTTAGGGCAACGTGAGACTTCGAAGAGGACTCTAGGAGACAGGCACACAGAACATGTTACATGTACATTTATGACAAATATCCCAGTGTATCCCTTGCATATCACCTTGGATACCACCTTGGATGCGGATATAACCTTCAATACTGTGACCAACCGAATGACTGCGTACATACCAGCCCAATTCGAGGGGGAAGTATCGCTGCCGCTAGTCCCTTCCGTTCCAAAACGTCTTCTGCCACCATTTTAAGCCCATTGGGTACCACGATAGGTGCGCTATTGGCGCGGAAGGTCTTTCAGAAAACCCATCAAATTTGAATCATCTAGTCACCGACTTTTGAATGTCAGGCTGTGTTTCAAGCATTCTCGTATGTTGTCAACTTAAATGTATGAGAAAACCAGGCAATATGTGCAAAGTCCATCTCTCCGACATCGCTCAAATGTTTACAGGTGGGTTTCCTTTGGGGAGTAGGTCGACTGTGTAAAGCCCTTGAAAAAGTTTTTGAAGGGTACCTTGAAGTTGGCATACCCCTAAAAATGGTCGAGAATCAAATGATTTATGGATCTACCAACGAGCCACGCCACTAAAACTCCGTCAAGTCAACATTGCCTCACCTTAGAAGAGTTCCTGTGGCAGCACCGCTTAGGCACGCCATCATCCCAGAAGACTAGGGCCATCACCCCCTGACGCTACAAATGTTTTTGAATGATCATCCTAAAAATAGTCTAATTTCAAGCGCTGATAAAACTGCGAGCCACGTCCTCGATTAGCAAGAACTATACACAGGCAGATACATGTACATGTAGTAGAAAAAATCTTATATAAGTTATAGCACTGAGGACATGTCCCCATCCTCCTTCTCGGGTTTTCTTGCAATTTTTCTAATCCACCATGCGGAAATACGTCCAAACTCATACATGTACATGTACGTCCACAGGAAAGCTAGCACCTCAGCGACGATAGTCAGCCATTTGTTTTATTGCAATCGCCACAAGTGGTCATTGGCTGCCCCAGCCATGTATTGCTTGGAATAAAATAAATAAATAAACTTCTACTCCAACACTACTCCCAACGATGCAGAAAAAAATGTATGATAGACTCTTACAAGGGAAAGCAGCGGTGATTACTTGTCACTCCAAACGACAAGCTTCTTCTTGCACCACCAACATTATTTTTTTCGGTGGGACAGGTGATGAAAAAGTGACTGAAGTTTTGCGGGTAGTTTTTGAATTTTACGGCAAGGAATCGGTGAAATCACCGGTAGTTCGGTTTAATTTTAACTTTTTTCAAGCAAGCCGAACTACTGGTGATATCAATGAAAGTAAAGCGAGCGCACTCATACCACGAGAACAATGGAACAATATTTTAAGATTTGAATGTCGTTTTCATGTGATAATCATCAAGACAATAGTGCTAGCTTTAGAATATTAGTGGTTTTCTTTCTTTTTCTACTATGTTCACATACCAAACTCGTAAAAAAATAATGAAAGACAATGGTACTGAGACAAGGTCAAAAGAGACAACTACTGATTGGGGGCTGCACCAAGGCGCAGCAGTGATGGTGGGGCATTGATGGCTCTGCCGACCTGCGGTCTGGGAATCACGGCCAGAAACACGCACCAAAAAAACAAAAGATAGAGCTGTAAGGGCCAGCAATATAAAAAGAAAGAAAGGGTTCACATCAGCTAGTGTGCGGCGCAGCATCGTATTCGTAGAAATGGGAGTCGTTGATGGGGCATTAGAATGTAGGTTCTTGTATTAGTTTTAGATCTAATAATGTCGACTTTATGGTACCATAATTATCTTTCCTTTGTATTCCAACAGTCAGTGTAATGACGATTTCTGATGATTATCACATGAAAACGACGTTCAAATCTTAAAATATTGTTCCATTGTTCTCGTGGTATGATAGCGCTCACTTTACTTTCATCGATATTAGGCTGCTTGTCTCCACGCCGACTTTTTCAGCTACCGGTGATTTCACCGTTCTTTAAAAAGCTCGTAGCAGTTCTGATGTTGCCTATGGCTATGTGGCCGAAATAGCTTTTGGTGTTTGGGTCCAATCTACATTGTATATATATACTGGCGTAGCCAGTACTGCCGGCCAATACTGGCTATACCATCCTTTAAACCATCAGATAACATTTTAAATGTTGTCTGATGATTGCACTGTAATGAACAAGAAACTCAGAGTTCCAACAAACTAGCCCTGTTGCACTGCTGTACCGTGCACTATAATAATACTTTAAAAGTAATAATAATGATAATTTATACAAAAGAGAAAGACCAAGGAACTACAAGTTACGCTATACTATACTATCCACTAACACCACCAGTTACTAAACAATCAGCTCATGCGATAACATTGCATGACACTGACCGACGGTACTGTCGTTCTACAACTAACTGGCTACTTATGACAGCTCTAGCACATCTTGGAGGCGCACTCCCACAGTCTTCCAACTTGGAAGGTTCTAAGTTATAGAAATAACGAGGGAAGGTGAGCGCAACCAAGATAAGCACGAGCTGAAAGTCTCAGCTGTGAAGGACGTTGGCGGATGTTCATGCATTTCGATGACGATACTGGCAAGACCATTGGACAATACGGTCATACCTTAGAACCTTCCAAGTTGGAAGGCTGTTGGAGTGCGCATCCAAGATGTGCTACAGCTGTTAGCCAGTTAGTTGTAGAACGACAGTACCGTCGGTCAGTGTCGTGCAATGTTATCGCATGAGCTGATTGTTTAGTAACTGGTGGTGTTAGTGGATAGTATAGTATAGCGTAACTTGTAGTTCCTTGGTCTTTCTCTTTTGTATAAATTATCATTATTATTGCTGTTAAAGTATTTTAACAGTGCACGGTACAGCAGTGGTTCTCTTTTGTACAAATTAAACCTTGGCTGTCCATCCGAGTCCAATAATGGTAATAGTTATAGTTCGCCTGTTACTCACGGAAGGGGATCCATGGGCTTAACGCATTTGTCAATGAAATCCAGGCAGAAGAGCCAACAAAAGGCATCTCATTATTGTTAGAACCTATCGCAGTAAGAACAACTACGCAAACGCATCACATTTTTCCACAAGTACCAGCTATTTTCTTCTTTTCTAGAGCCAGTTCAAAACACCGTGCACTATGATCGAGTACAAATACATTTTAAAACAATTACGTAGGAAAGGCGCTGAAGTCAACAATGAATGAAATTACTGAGATGGAAAAGGAGGCGAACTAAAAAAATATCGCACATTCCGTGGGTTATGACAGTTTATAAAGTGAACGTGAAGATGTACATGTACATGTAAGTAGTTTAAAAATAAGTGAAACGTGCATGTGCAACATCGTGCACCTCTTTCTGAATGCATAGACCCTGGCTACATAAGCGAATGAATATACATGTGACTTCTTGGACACGAAGCCAACAGACCCTACTATCACAATGCTACTCTCCAAAATCTCTTCACGGAGCAAGTGACAGAAAGAACTAAAACTCTAAGGGAGCCGGAATGTGATATTGGTAAGCCAATGAAAACTTGAAATGGTTAATGTCGCTCTAGAATACACCAGGAGAGTAGATTTGAGCTTTAGAGCTGCTTTCGTAGCTTCATTTCCACGAACCTCAAAATCAAGTAATTGTTTCCGGGATATTTGTACACTATACCACGTGGTAATCCATCGTGAAGTCCATACTCTCCATTGAGGTTTGCGTCATAACACCGGTTGTACCACCATCCACCTTTGTAGGAATTGGAACAGTCCCCTGTCAATCTGTCATGATCACGATCCCGAGTGCTGAACTGTTGTTCATTGTGGCGTCTCATTCTGTCCACCAAGGTAGGGCTTGAGAATCCTGAAACGTGTAGTCTGTAATTGTTAGCTTCACCTTCAACACGGAATGCTGACCACTTGGCATAATGCTTCTCTCCAGTTGTCTTGAACACCATATCAATACGCAGCTCATATGTACTACCCGCTTGTGATCTCATATAGTGTAGTGTATCTAGACCCAGCCAGAACTCTCCAGCCGCTGATCCGAATCCTAGTTTGTGTGCATTCCAGTCACGGTAAAAGTCCACTGAGCCATCTTGTCTTCTGACACACAGTCCAGCCACCTCCATCAGTCTCTCGATCACAGTATGCAGTGAATATTGCCGTGGGTGTTCCGCTATTGAATAGACCTGACCGCCCCTGGCTTGTCCTCCGACAGGGAAAGGATACTGCAGAGCAAAGAATCGAGAAATGAAGAACGATCAGATCTTTCAAAAACGTACAAGGTGAACGAGTAGATACAACTATGCAACTATAGTTGTAGTGTGCAGTTATCAGCTCAAATTACAGCAGCAATTGAGTACCGACTAGACACAGGTGGATAGGTGTGCAAATCTCCAGTATATGCGATACCCAATTACAGAACAGAGCAACAAGGATAATCAAGGCTATTTTGCTGCTACTTCAAGTTTCAGGCTCTCGCAATCATCAGGCAACACCAAACCCAATAATAATTGCATACTCGCGTACACCTTCGAAAATGGTAATACTGCCCTGGCGTTGCTGGTGACAGTTGTACTATCAAGATGCACGTACACCACGCAAACACCAGGAATAGTAATAACGCCCGATCTAAACTCTGATGAACACTTTCTGCATGTATCTAGAAAATATAGCCCACGCGTTGCCCTACTGTACCACATGTACATGGGTCACCGACTACCACCCGACTACATCAGCCTGCTCTTCAAATCCTACGTACGACCAGTTATAGAGCATGGAGTTCAAATATGGGGCTTCAGGCTGGCTGCAGGGAAATTGTCTGTGCCAGATGTCCTTCAAGCAAGAATTTGTAGACCCATGCTCAATGTTAACAAATTGTGCCTAATGCATTCTATGCAATACCTCAGACAGATCCTTCTCCATGGACCCTTTTGGCCGACACATGTCATGCATTATTGAACAACCCAATGGTACCGTTCACAACTTACTACTCAACTGTTCTACATCGCTATATCTAAAGGTGGTGGCGCCCATATTAGTGTTCAACAATCGTGGAAAACACCCCTCATTACTATTTCTGTACCGAATTGGCGCCCTTTGCTCTTACTACATCTATTCAGATTTATTATTATTATTATTCTTCTTAAAAAAGAGAAGAAACACATGAGAACAAGTTAGGCAGCAACTATCCACGACTGTAACAAGATGATAAACGGTCAGAAAATGCAATAATAGGGCACAAAACTGCATAACTCGTTGTCATGTGTTTCTTCTTTTTTTACATTGTAGTACTGGCCTAGTATCCGAGTTTAAATTATAATTATTATTATTTTTCTGGACACACAAATTCGGCTTATGAAACAGCTTCCAAAACTTGTAACTGCAAAAGATCAGAATAAGTACGACAACAGTCAGTACTAGAAACCAAATGATTGTATACTGAAGACTTGTTATTACGAGACGGACGCACACAATCTCGACTCATGCGCACACCCTCACTTATTATTATTTTTTTAAGGGGTCTGAAGCGGATAATACTTAAGAGAGCATGTCTGAGAATACCAAAGTATGTGTGCAAGTGGATCGCTCCGATTTCACTCAAAATTTGCAGGTAGGTTCCCTTTGGGGTGTGGATCGATTATGTAAAGCCCTTGAAAAAGTTTCTGAAGGGAACCTTGAAATTTGCATACCCCTCAAAAATGGCCGAAATATCACATTATTTATGGGTCTAGAAACGAGTCACGCCACAGCGTATACGAACAAGCTATGAACAAAACTCCATCAAGCCAACATTGCCTTACCTTAGAAGAGTTCCTGGAGCAGTACCGCTTAGCCACGCCAGCATCCCAGAAGACGAGGTCCATCACCCCCTGACGCCACAAATGATCGTCTTGAAAATAGCCAATTTACAAGCGCTGGCAAAACAGCCAGCTACGTCCTCAATTGGCCAGAACTATATATGAAATATATGATTTCACCGTGCATCTTGCAATAAAATTCAAAAACTGCGCTCAGGCCTTCAGTCACTTTTGCAGCAACAGTCGCACAAAAAATTATTGGTGGCGCGCAAGGAGAAGCTTGTCGTTTGGAGTGACAAGTGATCACCGCTGCTTTTCCTTGTCAGAGTCAACACTACACGTTGTTCTGCGGCCTTGGGAGTAGTGTTGGAGTAGAAATTGCTGAGGAGACGTCGCGGAGTGGCGAGCTTTCCTGCGCAGGTATGACTTTGGCCGTATTTCAGCATGGTCGAGTGGAAAAATTCAAAAAAGTTTATTTCAAGAAAACCCCAAAAGGAAGATGGGGGACATGTCCTCAGCGCTAGAAGAGGTGTTCTACTATCTGCCGGTGTATAGTTCTGGCCAATTGAGGACGTAGCTGGCTGTTTTGCCAGCGCGTGTAAATTGGCTATTTTCAAGACGATCATTTGTGGCGTCAGGGGGTGATGGACCTCGTCTTCTGGGATGCTGGCGTGGCTAAGCGGTACTGCTCCAGGAACTCTTCTAAGGTGAGGCAATGTTGGCTTGATGGAGCTTTGTTCATAGCTTGTTCGTATACGCTGTGGCGTGACTCGTTTCTAGACCCATAAATAATGTTATATTTCGGCCATTTTTGAGGGGTATGCAAATTTCAAGGTTCCCTTCAGAAACTTTTTCAAGGGCTTTGCATAATCGATCCACACCCCAAAGGGAACCTACCTGCAAATTTTGAGCGAAATCGGAGCGATCCACTTGCACACATACTTTGGTATTCTCAGACCTGCTCTCTTAAAAAAAACTTACCTTCGTTTTTTAGTTGATAAATATGGTGGTAAAGACACACCTGGCAGTATGGTGGTAAACACACGCCTGCCCACACACGCTCTCTAGGCTGCAAAGTTCTGGCACAGAGCTCTCCTTCCCACCACCACCACCATCAGTTCGCGCCTGGCGCGTGGTCGATACATGGCTGGCAGTATCCGGCATAGCAGGCTGGTACATCAAGTAGCGCATGGCACATAGATGATGACACAGCAACGACATAGCTCGATTGCGACGTACGTTTCGTCCCCGCTGGACTCATTAGGCAATCTTCTTCTTGGATGTCTTCATACGGAGCTTGACTTGGGAGAATGAAGTTGCAGACACCACTGCAGCTGTACTTATGGTTGATAAATATGGTGGTAAAGACACACCTGGCAGTATGGCGGTAAACACACGCCTGCCCACACACGCTCTCTAGGCTGCAAAGTTCTGGCACAGAGCTCTCCTTCTCACCACCACCACCATCAGTTCACGCCTGGCGCCTGGTCGATGCATGGCTGGCGGTATCTGGCATAGCAGGCTGGTACATCAAGTAGCGCATGGCACATAGATGATGACACAGCAACGACATAGCTCGATTGCGACGTACGTTTCGTCCCCGCTGGACTCATCAGGCTATCTTCTTCTTGGATGTCTTCATACGGAGCTTGACTCGACGAGGCGCCAGGCGTGAACTGAATCGATGGTGAGAAGGAGAGCTCTGTGCCAGAACGTTGCAGCCTAGAAAGCGTGTGTGGGCAGGCGTGTGTTTACCGCCATACTGCCAGGTGTGTCTTTACCACAATATTTATCAACCATAAGTACAGCTGCAGTGGTGTCTTCAACTTCATTCTCCTTCGTTTTTTAAGTATTATTATTATTACATGCCTGTTCGCGCTGACATCATATCACCAACCAAGCTGGGCTAGTCTTCGCATAAACCAAATGAACAAAAAATGGAACGAACGAGGCCAATGTGGTGAACACGCGTACAACTTCAAAATAGGCAAAAGGACTATACTTGAGTTATGCATTCACTATTCCGACATTGAATTATTTCTTCGTATCAGCTTCGGTTTTATGCATTATTAGAAAACCTTATATAGTCACCGTACCTTCTTGATTCTCTTGCAGCTGGTCTAGGCGCTCACTCTACAGCAAACCCCACAAAGAGCGACCAGAGCGCAGAGATCAAACCACGAGTACTGTAGACTGTATTGATTAGTAGAATATTAATCATAGACAACTGTATGGCAATTCAGATTCAAAAATGGTTTGGATAGATCATGCCATTGGGTTCCCCCTGCACTGTTGTGTGCTTGACGTTTGTGGATCTAGTGAGGGGTGCGTAACACCAACCTGCTTGGTTTCACAGGTGGCGTGAGTTTCGAAGTGTGAGGAAATGTTGAATAGTCTAACCTGGGAACATGTACCAAATTCTCATCAGACCATCTTTTTTTCCTTTTACTCCCTTTTACGTAACGTTTACATCTCTGGTTCAATCTCATTCTGGCAAATGGTGGCCAACACTCGTATAAAATCACACGCTCTAGCTAGCTGCACAAAGGTCTGTCACGTGTTGCAAATTTAATTTACACGTCACCGTGCATGCATTCTGTATTTGGAGTTTTCAAACCATTGTTCTACTCCAGGCTCTGAATTACTGGTAGGTGAAAATTATCAGTGTGGACACATGTGCCACACATTACGGAGTATGCCATATCATGAACTCACAAGTGAGGCAACTTCGGATGACAGATGAGCCATAGTGGAGTTGACGTTTTTAAGGACTCGCTTCTCCAGGTGTTGAAGAAACGTATACATACGATTGGTATCGTCTTGTCTTCCAGTTTGCAGTTCATGTCTCAGTTGTTGAACATCTTCACTGACTTCATGCAATGTGTTGGATTGCTGTTTAAACTTAGCTACGTCCAACCACTCTGGAGAGTACACATAAAAGTAATGATTTGGTCATGCAATATGTGGTCACATGTCACACCATTCACATCTTTTGAATCATGACATATCTTCATGAAAATGAGGCAACAACGTAGTGAATGGGCAACGGTCCTCAACATTTGGTCTATACCTTCCTGAGTGCCACTGATACATGAAATTTCCAGAAGTTCGTGAGGTGTTTATTCGCCTGGAAACAAATTGTCACCGTTTTTGGTTTTGCTAGTGATGTATTGGTCTATTTTATTTATTTATTTATTTTATTCACAATCACGTGGCACTAGCCATTGAAAAGGTGATGTGGGCGATAGCCAGCCATGGCGGTAATAGAGCAAGAGGGGAGAAAGAAAAAGAATGAAAGGGGAACTGAAAAGTAAGAGAAGCGCGGGGAGCTAGGGCAGGGCTGGATATGAACTAGTATGTTGCATTCTGCAGTAGCTGTGTTAAATTATGTGAATGTATTGTAACATTGGTTTGGAGAGGACTACACATTTGCAATGCGATTGGAGCAGAGTTACCATTAGCTGAGTCAAGGCAGGCATAGTGGAATGGTCTAAGACCATGATCGAGAAACATAGGGTAGACTACTAGGTTCTAGTGCTGCTTGGAAGCGGAAGAATTCTTCCTACCCACAGTCAATTAGGAACTCGTGGCTTGGCACGAGGGAAGCATGGATGCAGCGAATGGGATTTTCTGTCTTCGACCACTTTGGTCAGTCTGATCTTGTCAACTCCCACCGCTTTAGGATCTGCACCTGTGCCATGATCTTTGCGGGTGGTGACGCTCCTACGGATTGGGAAAACTTGCACTTCAACCGAGTCTCACTCGAACCGCGAAATATGTTTAGTCAACTCAAGCTCAACTAATGAGGGGTGAGTTCTCCGAAACACTGTGTATTGAGCAGGGAAAAGTGCTTTCCTGCAGGTTCGTCGTGTGTAAGGTTCGATGGACTTCTTGTGTGCTCTGTATGGCAGCCAGTGGTTAGCCAGTCAAGTGTGAATTAAAGTAGTTGGCAGGAAAAGTAGAGCTCCCAATGTAGTAAACCAAAACGCGCATGAAAAAAAGGATGCAGGGCTGAAATTCTTCGCTCCCAAACATGCTTCTAATGTAATTTCCCTCAATAAATTTTGTGCACTTACTTTCCTCACGTTTTCCAGTATACAGTGGTGGACAGTGACAATGAAATGATGATCCTCCCTGTTGACATGTTGCACCGTTCTGACATGGATTACCAGAACAGGATGGCAGTACTGAGAGGTGGGGATGGCAAACAAAAGAAGAATTTGATGGAAGTAGCACAAACTATTTCCCTTTATTTAAGGTATTAGATATTCAGATCTCACTCGTTTGGAAATTTGACAATTTTGGTATTCCCATCAAAGCTCTTCCTATTACTGCTTTAGGAGCTAAACCTGCGCCTTGATCTATAGAAGATGGTGCAGTTCCTACGGATGCGAAAAACTCGACTTCCAGCTGAGTCCCACGCGTACCGTAATTTTTTTCTTTTTGATCAAACCTTCTTTAATTGTGTGCTCAAACTTTTAAGAACCAATAAACAGATTGGACGGGTGACGATCCTTACCTTCTATTCACAGTGACAAGTACCGAGTAAAGACTTAAGTGCACCAAAGTCAAGCGCCACATAGAGACGTTGGAACAAACGTAAGGCTTCAAGTTATTCTTGTGCTGCACCCCCCCCCCCCCCACCACCCGCTACACGCAAAACTGATGTTCTGTGACTACACCATACACCACACGACTCAATATATTCCAAAATTTCAACTCAGAGGGCATGCTCAGGGTTAGAGATATGGTCTAGAAATTCATATCGGTACATGTACTTGTACCTCTAATAAATGATTGATGATTACCTATCTGACAAAACGTTCCAGTATGTCCATCGTCGCAGTGGCAAATGTACGCTCCACTCCCTTGTGGAAAATGTGTGAAAGCGCACTTTCCAGCATCGCTATATGGGTGGCTTTTGCGACATTGCTCAAGCTGACCACCTGAACAATGCAAGAGTCAACACAACCGTGTCCATATTAACCGTGTCCATATTAACCGTGTCCATATTAACCGTGTCCATATTAAGTGAAGAACGGTAATCTTACACGAAATACGTAGACATTGATTGCCATTAAAATAGTCGCAATTTGATGACTTCGAGTAGGACCATCATTGTTGTGAAACCACAAGTTCTCGAGAGTGAAAGGCCTTCTCGCTTGTGACATTGTGTTCGTTTCAATGCAGTTGTATTCCGACTCCGCCCTACCGCTGATCGTTACGACGTGGTATACGCTACAGGCGCTATGTGCGGTTTGCTGCGTGCGCTGTAGTTGTATGTGTATATGCTTTCTCATATACGCTGTCATTTTCACGCTATAACTACCTGGTGGTTTTAGTGTTAGTTATTCATTCATTCATTCATTGTTTCATTTTTTCATTCATTGTTCATTATTATTAGTCGATGGAAGTGAAATATACTGTTGAGAATAAATAGCTGTCCTCGTGCCGTGTGAGGTCGTTAGTTCCTGACACTTTAGAAAACCAGAGGGTTCACAACATTTGGCGACCACGCCAGGATACGAAACGAGCATGGCACAGGAACTATGGATCATTGAAGCCAGCTTTATCGCTAGCGGAATTCGGTATGGATTTGAAGGCGATAGGTTGAGCGAATACGTGGAGAAGAGGCTCCGACAGAGCGAGGAGTTTGAAGAGCGCAGTGCTAGACGGCAAGAGGGTGGGCTCCGCCCAGAGTTTGACGAAAAGCTCAAGAACCTGAAGAAGATGAACGAGCGCATCGCCAGCAGTATATATGAGGGAGCAAAGCGAGATTTGCTTGCTACACGCGAAAGGACGCCGGACAAGGCGTGGAAGACTTTGCTTACAGACAAGCAGCGGTCAGAGGAGTATTCGAAGCCAGTGGGAGGATCAGATCCAAGGCCCACTGGGTCGGTGCAGTGCATGGCGAAATCGGTCGGAGACGAGTTGTTGTACGGCGGGGAGAAGCCCTTTGGTGGGGAGAATGTTGTGAAACCACAAGTTCTCGAGAGTGAAAGGCCTTCTCGCTTGTGACATTGTGTTCGTTTCAATGCAGTTGTACCCCGCCTCCGCCGTACCGCTGATCGTTACGACGTGGTATACGCTACAGGCGCTATGTGCGGTTTGCTGCGTGCGCTGTAGTTGCATGTGGTATGTGGATGCTTTCTCATATACGCTGTCATTTTCACGCTATAACTTCCTGGTGGTTTTAGTGTTAGTTATTCATTCATTCATTCATTGTTTCATTTTTTCATTCATTGTTCATTATTATTAGTCGATGGAAGTGAAATATACTGTTGAGAATAAATAGTTGTCCTCCTGCCGTGTGGGGTCGTTCGTTCCTGACACTTTAGAGAACCAGAGGGCTCACAACAATCATACCAAGCTTCAAAGAATGATTTTCACCTGTCAATGTGCGTATGCAATAAATGCACAGCAGTGTCTCTGCAAATTTACTCGTTTTCAAGTACCAGAGCAGGGGCTGAGCGACAGCACGCAGGTAATCCAAAAACCAGCTACGAAGTATTCATATGTTACTGAAAGCTTTATGAAATAGAGTTACTCACATCGACATCTCCCCATCCGTAGAACGCAACAACCCGCAAATATGAATGTTTGATTGTGCACAAATAGAACGTTGCATGTTCAAAGAATAATCCTTCAATTCATATTATGACATGTGGAGTTGACTTACGAAGACACTGTTGTAGAAAATTAGAATTCTGTCGTCCACCTAACAGAGCAGAAAGTGAATCCGTGTGAAGATTGCCGGAGTGGAGCTGACGTAGACTAATTAGCAGAGTCTCTGTGTCCTGGATGCTGAGACGGAGAGCGGTGGATGGTAGAAGGCGAAGAACTCGTGCCATACACGACCCAGCATCGTCTAATGGGCAAAGAAAAGAACAAAAATGTAAGTTGTAAATGAAAGGTCTACCTGCGTTTAGTCACGAACCTTGTAGTGCATCCTACTCAGTGAAGCAAAGACACCTCGATCATACAAAAAGAGTTTACCAACTAGGTTTGCTTCAGATCATTATCTCTTTTCAGCAAGTCGAAATGCGATAATTATGCTGTAGGCTGCATTGAAGAAAAAGACAATTTCAATGTACATGCAAGTGCTCCTACCTGTTTCATTTGCAGTGCTGGAATGGGTACCTGCAAGGACGCTCTTTGCGGCCGCACCACGAAACGAGGCGGCCAACAGCAACGCAAACCATGTACATAGCTGAGTAGTTGAGGGCACTTTCATTTTCTGTGGATCAGCATTCAGCTCAGCAAATGCTTTTGAAATGTAGGTAATCAGCTCAAGAATTGGAGGGTTTACAGGCGAATATAGTTTTGTTCACAACGAGGACAATATCTATCTCACGCAGACTCTGGGGAGGGAAATGATCTTGTACCCTCTCTTGCAGAAAAACCATCATAATGACTGTAGTATTTGGTGTTCAGATTCTGTTGTGCCTGGTTCTCAGCAACGCATGCCTGACATGCATTGCACATGGAGGCTCAATATTTCAAATCATGGAGAGCATAGTGAACCTTAGCATCATGAACCATCTGTCGGAGCTGCTCTTTTTCGCTTTCCGGCATACGAGTCGTAATCTTATGGTAGTAGACCTGCTGAATCTTCTGAATGGCTGTGCACTATCATCAATGTCGTAGCAGTACTAATGGTAGCAGTAGACTCTGCCAGAGCTTTTGGAAATGTGTCACACTGTATCCTATTATCACGTTACAAAGTGGAAAGCATTGTCAACATTAACATCATGAACCATCTGACGGTGCTGTTGGTCTTCTTCGGTTTCCGCCATACTAGTAGTTTTGTGATAGTAGACCTGCTGGATACACTGAATGGCTGCACACTATCAGCAATAGCGGAGCAGTACAGTTAGTAGCAGTAGACCCTTCCAGAGCTTTTGAAAATGTGTCGCACTGTTGCGTATCATACAAAGTCAATGGCTACCTCATCAATGACCCTTGCATCCATGTCTAACTGTCCATACTGCGAGCGTCAGCTGTAGTCAGTTGTCTCCAACCCAGAGGCACAACAGGAGCCCACCCTGTGCCTGCAAATGTGACCATGCGTAACATTCTGGGCCATACTCTCTTGTTGGTACAGGAGGAAGCTTATGCTTGCCAGAAGGACTGATCATGTGTACCCTGCTGGTGAAATAACCCTTCACATGCCTCCATCATGCGACGATGCTGCTTTTTCTGCGATCAACTGCAGACCAGTGTTACGAACCTCGCTGTGGGGAGCAACTTGACGGTTAAATTTATTGATTATCTTTCTCCCCAGAACCTGCTATCCCATCTCTCTCATATACTCCCCTCCCCCAGCCCCGGAAGGATTGACGGCTCTTTAGTTGCTGAGACCATTGCTACAACGCTTTTCAAAGTCTCCATTGCAGCCAACTTCATGACCTCTAACACCCACAGCATGTCCTCTTCGATATTGCACCATACATCGGGTTTCTCAGACACCCCCTCCTCCAACACCCGATGACCCGACACCGTCTGTCCGTATTTTGATGGAATACTGATACATTCTGGTCGGTTGATGCTCCCAGTCAGCCGTCTCGCCTCAGCGAGCTGCAAAGGTGAATGCTTGCCCTTATCAGCCTCAGTGTCATCATCAACTAGCCTGGAACAGTGGTCCCTGCTTTCTATAGCTCATGTGTGGTCGCTTTGTCCCATCTGTGTTGTTGCATTATTTTATTCATATTTCTATAGGGCAGTCTCCACAGACAACAGCATATGGGCCAATCGCGGTTTTGTGTGCTTTTATAGGAACGAAATGGCGCTCTGAATGATATTCTGCATACAAATCTCCATCTAGCAGGGCGCAGTCACTCAGCGTCGGTGGAAGTGGTGAGATTGATTGGGAATGAAGGAGGAAAGGAGCGTCTTAGACTATTAGCTTCCTCGGACCAAGACCATTCAACGCAGCACACCAGCAAACACTTAGTGCATGTCTGTAGTGATAGTATGTGAAAGAAAGCAATAATGTTTGGTATGGCATCACAATACAGAATCAAATGGGGATTTGAACTCTGCAGCGAAACGCTCTCGAGGTGGAAGCTGTACTAGTATTTCATGCCGGCTTGCGCAAAGTATACTAAAATGCAACTCAGTGGTGTGATCCATTAATTTTGGTCAATTACCACAGGAAGCGTAGTGTTTGAAATGCTGAATCTGTTTCTCAGTATGGAATCACGAGCAACGTTGCGAAACGCCGTCCGCTATGCATCCTGGGGGTGACCAGTGAGCAGCTAACCATGGTGTCCCACCCGAAACTTTACCGAAGTATAGTTCCACGAACGACAGCCCACAGAATGCTTATTTCATGGAATTACAAACCATTACAGAGTGACATAATTAGATGGAGTACTCCACTGCCAGGAGAATGTGCGATGCCGTTGTACGGTAGAACTTTGAACTCAACCAGAAAAGGGAATGTATGAAGATATGTTGCAACTGCGAGTTTCGCGTTATGTAAGATTAAGTTGTCCGAGATTGGTAGTCAGAATTTAAGGAGGAGGGAGGCAAGTATAGGAAACAATAGTGCATGCTATAAGTCCATAGAACAGTGGACTGCGAGCCATTCAGTAGTGGTGCAATGGTCGTATACATGCATGAGATGTAATACACCCCTGAAAAGACTCTGACTGCCTCGTAATCTTTTCCTTGTTTACATGATGGTCATGTTACCTCACCAGCACAGGCTATACATTTGCCTTCCCAGTTCTAGCAACGCATTAGATCTGTTACTAAACCACTCAATTTCTCTACAGTAGGCTCTATCTTACCATTGTGTATTTTAAGTAATAAAAGTAGGAGCCATACATAATTCAAAGATATAGAGACACCATGAAACAGTTGTTAGCTGCTATGCATGTCAAAGACACTTTGGATAGTGTGACTACCCGTCAATTGAACTTCAGCTTTTGCTCGTGAGTCATTCTACAGTGTGTCTAGTTTAAGCCATTAGTGACGTAAAACAACATAGAAAACAGCTGGTAAAGTGTATAGCGCTAGATGGTTAATGTTCAGGTGGTTAGTGAGAGAATGCGGGTGATTGTAGTAGACAGGAAAAGTACAGTATATTAGAAAGAGTGATTGTATTCTTGTAACCACGATGGCTCACTGAGAAGAAGTATAAAGCGAAAGCGCTCCTAGGAGATCATTGTGTTGTATGGCGGCGGGGGAGCTGGTTATGAAGATGCGCGCAATGCCCTGAAATGGTAAACACTCCCTTAGTGCATGTGTGTAGTAATATTATGTTAAACAAAAGAACTTACTGGCTTTTTGGAACCCGGCGATTAAGAATTGAATGGAAGGTTCACTCTCCTGCAAAAGAAATGTATGGGTGGAAAGAGGTATAACATATTTCCAAGTATAGCCAAAATCCATCATGAAAAGATGAAACCAGTGGAAACGTTTCAAATTGCAGAATGTTTGCAGTTGGATGCAAATGAGCACAGTGTGAAGTGAATCTAGCAGTACTTTGGGTTTTATCCACGCCTTCTTAGCTTCATTTCCACAAACTTCAAACTGTTGTACACGTTTTGATAGTACCTTACACCAGTTGCGTCTCCATCACTACGTCCATACAATCCATTGACATTGACGCGGTAACACTGGTTATACCACAAACCACCCTTCCATGTATTAGAAAAGTCTCCGATACTCCATGGGTCATGGTCACGATCTCGAGTACTGAACTGTTGTCCATTGTGGTAACTCATTCTGTCCGCCAAGGCAGGGCTTGAGAATCCTGAAACATGTAGGCTGTAATTGTCAGCTTCACCTTCAACACGGAATGTTGACCACTTGCCGTAATGCTTCTCTCCAGTTGTCATGAACACCATATCAATACGCAGTTCATAAGTACTACCAGCTTGTGACGTCACATAGTGTAGTGTATCTAGACGTAGCCAGAACTCTCTAGACGCTGATCCGAATCCTCGTTTGTATGCATTCCAGTCACGGTAAAGTCCACTGAGCCATCCTGTCTTCTCTGAAACACAATCCAGCCACCTCCATCAGTCTCTCGATCACAGTATGCAGTGTATCTTGTCGGTGTTGTACCAGTGAACAATCCTGATTGCCCGTGGTCAGTGTTTTGGATTGGATTGGATTTTTATTTATAGTAGTGACTATAACAGACAATTGCCTAATAACAATAGACCAACTCGAGGAAAAGATGCAAAAAGATATGAATAATTAATATAATAGACTACCGGTATTGAATAGGTGATCATGTTCGCATTTTGCATAGCTGAAAGTCATAAGTACTAGCTTGAAAAAGCAAGGCATTGGGGTAACAGTTTCTTAAAATGGGCGGAATTATCCACACAGCGAGCTAGAGGGTGTAAATCATTCCACAGCTTAGCACATTGGAAGGAAGTGCCATGACGGGCAAAGGCAGTTCTGAGCATGGGCAACTTTAGAGTGCGTGATACAAGGCTGCGCGTTGCAAGACCATTATTTTTATACGCTCGAACATTTGACTTAATGTGACACTACAGCGGCCTTCCAAACAGCGCCACGTCAGATACAGTAATTTCTTGCAAAACATGGATGCCAAACGATCTAGACCAAGTCTCGCAAATAAAGGGCTTGATGGGCTACAAAAACCAGTATCGTACACTGAACACAAAGCTCGCTTTAGCATTCGTTCAAGCCTACCTAAGGAAAGGCCAGCAGAAAAACAATTTGATGCATATAGAAAATCTGGCAACACTAGGCACTTTACAAAGGTTTCTCGGCAAGTCAGCGGAATATTGTGTCGATTTCGGAACAGAATGCCAATTTTACTGGCAAATTTGGTGACCATAGAATCAACTTGAGTCCTCCAAGAAAGATCCTGGTCCAAATGTATTCCAAGGTACTTTGAATATGTCACTTGCTTGAGCTGCACTCCATGACAGTAGACTGCAAATTGGTGGTCAGTAATATGTGGCGTAGACAGGAAGAGCACTTGTGTCTTCCGGGCATTTAGAATTAAATTACGGTTTGACAGCCAGGTACTAATGGCTGAGACAGCTGCAGAGTGGGAGTTGCTAAGCACATTCTTCTGCGTACCGCAAACATACAATAGAATATCAGTTCTTTCACATGACGCACTTGCTGCAGGACGAACACAGCGGAAGGATGTTAGCGACGTTAAGGTGGCAGACTACCCAAAAATTCGCTGAAAAATCGAATTTGTAAATTCATATTGAGTGCTACGTCAGTTGAAAGAGCATGAATAGCTGCAAATTCTCTGAAAATTGTGTCCCGATCTGACCGGCCGTTCAAGAGTTATGGCCAAAAATGTGCCCTTGCAAGGAAAGATTTTTTTGTTGCACGCTGTCATTTGTTGGCAGCACTGTATTTGAATGTGAGCAGACCGTGCGCAACTTGTCGTATCATGGAAACACGTGAAAGTGTGCAGAATTTTGCTCCAAGTCCAAAAAATCAGGTTTTTGAGCCACGTATTGGGCTGCAGGACTTTTGCCAGCACCCTCGTGACGTTGCAGATATGTGGCTTGATTATTTGTAGTTGACATTGATTTAGTGACTTTGGCAAGTTTGAGTCGTGTCAAGAAGTCAGGTAGGATTCAGTACTAGGCAGTAGTGAAACGTGAGTGGTAGTCTTTGCCGGTTTCTGAGGGTATCCTGGATTTGGTGTGCAGCGCTGTGGAAATGGCTTGCTGTGGAGGTCCCAGCACTGGATGTTGTATCAAAGGTACGACCTCGTAGCACACCCTAAACCTAAAAAAATTCAAAAATTGACTTGGGTCTGTGGGAGTGTGTGAGAGAACGCCCACTCGTTCCGTTGTGACAGATTCCAGGGCCTCGTTGAGGGGCACTACCCCATCACCCATGGCTGCTTCTGGACTTGTTCTAGGTTTGAGTCCCGCGCACGAACAGAATGAGCACGAAAATGTGAAAAAATTGTAAATGCATTTGTTTGGCTCCTGGGTGGCTCGCACACCGTGGCACTATGCCGGAAATTTGAGTTTTTCCGGTCTGGAAAGCCTGTCAGTGAGGCGCAAGAACTTGTAAATCATGTCCTGAGGGCCAGCAAAGTGGCAGGAGTGTGTGGTCAAAATTTCACTCAAATCCATTGAGAAACACCAAAGTTACGGTCAATTGAATGCCATATTGAAATTTATGGGTAGGCTGCTAGGTGAGGTGGCAGACTACCCAAAAATTCGCTGAAAAATCGAATTTGTAAATTCATATTGAGTGCTACGTCAGTTGAAAGAGCATGAATACCTGCAAATTCTCTGAAAATTGTGTCCCGATCTGACCGGCCGTTCAAGAGTTATGGCCAAAAATGTGCCCTTGCAAGGAAAGATTTTTTTGTTGCACGCTGTCATTTGTTGGCAGCACTGTATTTGAATGTGAGCCACGTATTGGGCTGCACGGCGGCGGGCGAAGCCCGCCGCCGTGCAGCAGGACTTTTGCCAGCACCCTCGTGACGTTGCAGATATGTGGCTTGATTATTTGTAGTTGACAGCCTGTCAGTGAGGCGCAAGAACTTGTAAATCATGTCCTGAGGGTCAGCAAAGTGGCAGGAGTGTGTGGTCAAAATTTCACTCAAATCCATTGAGAAACACCAAAGTTACGGTCAATTGAATGCCATATGAAATTTATGGGTAGGCTGCCCCCTTAATAAGTCTAAAGATAACAAAAACCTGTATATTAACAACAACGACGACGACGACGACGACGACGACGACGACGACGACGACGACGACGACGACGACGACGACGACGACGACGACGACGACGACGACGACGACGACGACGACGACGACGACGACGACGACGACGACGACGACGACGACGACGACGACGACGACGACGACGACGACGACGACGACGACGACGACGACGACGACGACGACGACGACGACGACGACGACGACGACGACGACGACGACGACGACGACGACGACGACGACGACGACGACGACGACGACGACGACGACGACGACGACGACGACGACGACGACGACGACGACGACGACGACGACGACGACGACGACGACGACGACGACGACGACGACGACGACGACGACGACAACAACAACAACAACAGCAGCAAGAGACCGTAGTTCTGTCCGCAGATTGAGTGTTTGGTTAGAATGCACGTAAAAAAAGTAGCGCTAGCACTCCGAAGGTTGGTGCGTTCATTTGAAGGCGGGGTCAGAAAGTGAAGGAGAGCGCAGCACCCCGCTATATTGCCTTGGCGGGAGTCCTGTGTATTGCGCACGTCGGAACCCTCTTGAAAAGGAACCTGCATACTCACATACGGTACATGTAAACCATGCCAAAGGCTGGTGAATACGTGGAATTTAACACCTGAAAAATCAACCGATCTACCACCATTAGATGAGTTGAAAGAGGAAAATTAGTAAAAGGGGTTGAAAAGGCCACAACAGTGAACGAACTTAGACAGCTTTACGTATTGAAACTCATAGGCATGAAGCCATTGAAATCCTGCATAAATCCTTACAGATTTTAGATTTTTGAAAGGAGAAAGGGAGCTTGGATAATTTACCTTGGTTGGAATCCCTATAAAACAATTCTTTGGTCGTATTGTGATAATCTGTTTGTTATGAGTCTGAGTTTACCACGCATTCAAGATCACTAGAAGTAGATTCAGATCAAGATAGCGTTTGATGGTCGCTTTCTTGCCTGAAACTCACAAGTGCCTTTTTCAAGTTAGTCCAAAGTACAATATATTACGCCAGTTCTGTGATATATAACTGTTCCGTGAAGAATCACGTTTGTAACGAAAAGATTTGCCTGAGTGTGCACCTGCAAAATAATTATACAATACATTACATCCTACCTTCATGATTTCCCTGGCCTTCATCCAGGCGCTGGTTCTGCAAGAAAAAGCCAAATGAGTGGGAACAGTGAGGGCTGCTTCCTGCCAGCTTGTGAAGTCAGAAACTCAGGAAGCTTGAGTTCCGAAGTCGGAAGAAATCGTTGAATGGTCTGTGCTGGGATGACAGCTACACTGTGACTCCGTGGTTAGGACATCACTGGCTTCAGCTAATGTGGCAGTGAAAGTGCCTTCCGACTTTTCCTTTTTTCATTACCTCAATAGGGGAATAAATTGTCATTGTTTTTACTTATTGGAAGAGCATATCGGGTTTGTTGGTGTGTATCAGACCATAATAGATATTGCTAGTTGCATGAAAACGACGTTAAAATCCCTTCATATTGTTCCTCAGGTGTCAGAGTATGAATGCATTCACTACGTTTCTATTGATTGTATTATTCTTGTTCCCTTGCCGCCTTCATAATAGAGATAATAGTGCATTATCATTATTATGATACTTTGCAATGCTTAGTACTACCAGCCGAATTTTTCACGAATCAGCGAACTACATTTTACATTGAAACATCCATGATTATCCGGAAACAGATGAAGGGAATGATCCAAGGTTTGGACATGTCATACAAACTAAGTGTCCAGGTGTTTATTCAGTATCTGTGCCTTCAGGAGGAACGTTATATTACCAGACAACAACATACTTTACAAAGAAAGGATCAAAGGTTTAAAGGGGAACTCCACGAAAAAATGAAACTTTGATAGCCTGTAGAGTTTCGGGCGCTGAGTCGAATGGTCTTGGTCCGAAGCCTCTACGACGAAGCGTTCTTGAGATATTTCACTTTGAAATTGCAAAAACGGGGGCCGCGCCCTGATGTCATGCGGCCATTTGGTTACATCATCACGGGCTGCCTACGTCATTGTGGCAAAGTCGTTTCTCTTCGCCAATCTACAAGCACTAATTTTAGTTGGTATTTCAAGGGAAGATGGGCGATTCCGAACAATCCTCTGTCCCCAGCAATGAAGGCAGCGATGCTGAGGCCAGTGAGGACGACCAACAGCCCACCGCCGCGTATGGTTGGGGCAGGGAGCCCAGATACTCTGCTGAGGAGCTGCCATCGCGTGTAACAAATGTTGAGGAAGAAGATGCTTCAGCAGCTGCGTCCGACAGAAGACGAGTAGCTTGGCCACCAGAATCTCGATTCGTTTGGGACTCCGACTGGTGCGAGCGTGGACAAAAGTGTATAGCCATGCCCAGCCTGCGGGAATGATTTTGCTGGTAGGATGCTGCCGTCGTTGTCGACAAGACGGCCCAAGGTTTCTTGCGTAGCGGACCTCGCAGATTACGAGATCGTATCCTTGCATTAGGCTGTGCCCATCACTGCTCTTCGAGGTTATCTCGACATGCAGAAGCTGTAACCGTCCAACCAGAGCGATTCAGGATCAAGAGTAGAACGACTTTATTATACCATCAACGGGGTTTATATGGGACAGAAGTGTAATCCAAGGTGAACATGCAACACAGGTGTGATGTAACACAACGTAAGTGGGAACGTGTAGTAGGATGCACAGTGTGAGTGTGTGAATCTGTTACACCACCCCCCTCGTCAGCAAAGGTGAGCCGGGCTAAACACGAGTAGGTAAGCATTATAATACCAGTAAATCAATATTATTGGTTCGAAAATAATTGCTAACACAAGAGGCAATTCAAGGTATGGTAGGAAGTAAAACTCAACGCAGGAAAGGCGGCTATTGACGACGCTTCGTTTTCAAGTAACTCTGCAGCGGAATAATTTCCTTGTTAGACTCGTCCAATAAATGTTCGATAGGCTCCCAGGTGTTCTCACTGTAGCCACGCCATTGAACTAGATACTCCATGCGGCCCCTCCGTTTCCGTTCATCGACGACCGCGTCTACAATATAACGCGTGTTGCCGTCCAGATCCGTTATTGGTGGCGGAGGCGGCTGTTGCCGTCCTGGTATAGAGTTCTCCTCATACCGCCTCAGAGCTGACACATTAAACACCGGATGACAACGCATATTGGCAGGAAGTAGCAACCGGAAGGCATTGGCACCAACCTTCTCAGTTACAGGAAATGGACCATACCATTTGGAACGCAGCTTAGGGGACGGCTGATTCCGCGCCTCGGGAGTAATGAGGAAATCCCTATAGACCAGAACACGGTCACCAACCTTTATAGTACTGGGGGCACGAGTGTTGTCCGCATACAAGGCCTGCCGCGCCTGAGCCGCTACAATAGCATCCTTAGCAACGCGTAACGCATCCTGTTGCTCCTTCACCCAATCAGAGTGTCCGACTCCCATACGATCACCCAGCAAATCCGCTGGGGCTCGGGGGTGAAACCCAAAATTCAAATAAAATGGGGTATGCGATGTAGAGGAATGGTGGGCACTATTGATGGAGAACTCGCAAAGAGGCAATAGCTTATCCCAATTGTCATGCTTATGGTTAATGAATGCACGGAGGATGTCTTCAACCAGCCTATTCACCCTCTCCGTTAATCCATCTGTTTGGGGATGGTTTGCCGTGCTGAAACAAAGCTTGGTTCCCAGAAGTTGAAACACCTCCCTAAAAAAGGCAGCAGTGAACCGAGGATCTCTATCTGAGACAATGGATGAACTCAAACCATGCAACCGAAAAACGTTAGCTATGTACAATTCAGCACTGCCCTTGGCATCAATGGATGTGGTAGTCGGTACCAAATGAACGCATTTAGTCAGGCGGTCCACAAAGGTATAAATAGCATCATGTCCAGCAGCTGTCCTAGGAAGACCCGTAATAAAATCCATGGCGATATCCTACCACGGGCCTTTGGGTATTGGTAATGACTGCAGCAGGCCCGTGCGCAGCCTCCCCGGTTTAGTTCGCTGGCAAATATCGCAAGACTTCACGAAACGTTTGACATCGAGTCCCATTCTCGGCCAATAGAAAAATTTTGCCAAGCGTGAATACGTGCGGTCACGCCCTGGGTGACCTGCCGTCACGCAGTCATGGTTCTCCTGTACCAATTTCAGCCGTAGGGTACACCTCGGTATGCATAAACGGTTGCTAGGAGACGCCTTCAAGTAGAGGAACCCGGAGTCGTTGTCGATGAAGTACTGACTGTGCACATTGTCACTGTCGGGGCGCTTCATTCGTTCCATAACTACACTCAGCTCAGGGTCCACGGCATAACTGTCCAGTATCATGTTGGCTATATCGTCATTGACCTCCAAGGTATATTCTATAGCGTTTAGTCGAGCTTCAGGCGGAACCACATGATCTTCGTCCCTTAAGTCCGGGCGGCGTGACAACGGATCCGCCACATTCTCCTTGCCAGGTTTATGGTGAATAGTGTAATCAAAGTCCGCAAGAAATTCAACCCAACGGGACTCCCTTTTCGTGAGATTTGATTTTGTCAGTAAGTAGACTGCTGCTCGGTTGTCTGTGAAAACGTCAAAGTGTTCAAACAAATAAATGCGCCACATCCGGAGGGCGGACACAACTGCTAACGTTTCTCGTTCCGACGCTGTGTAGTTCCGCTCCGCCGAGGAAAGCTTTCGACTGCCGTACGCCACTGGCAACCAACAACCAGGTTCCCCCTCCTGCGAGAGCACCCCCGCGATTGCAAAATCGCTAGCATCAGTTTCAACTCGGAAAGGTTTTGATACGTCTGGAAGTCTCAAAATAGGGGGATTTAGCAGTGCCCTTCGCAACTCCTCGAATGCTGCCTGGGCCTCACCAGTCCATGAGAACCTGGTGTATTTACCCGTTAGCTCCTCCAAGGGCTTGGAAATATATGAATAGTGTCTAATAAAGCGACGGAAGTAATTGGTAAACCCGAGAAATTGTCTCACGTCTTTCACCGTACATGGGGTGGGCCAATCACGAACTGCAGCCAACTTCTCCGGATCAGGGCTAATCGAGGAACCGGTCAAACGGTGACCCAAGAATAGAATTTCTTCCACCGCAAACTCGCATTTCGGTAACTTGCAGAATAGTTGGTTAGCGCGGAGGGTAGTCAGAACGGTTCGAATGTGCTCAACGTGCTCTTCCAGGGTTTTGCTAAAAATCAGAATGTCATCCAGGAACACTACCACGAATTGGCGCAAGTACGGCTGCAGAATGGAGTTCATCAGTGATTGGAAGGTTGCCGGGGCATTAGTCAGACCAAACCCCATGACCCTGAACTGGTAGTGGCCAAACGGGGTGTTAATTGCCGTTTTCGGCACATCCTCCTGTTGTATCCTGATTTGGTTGTATCCTGCGCGAAGATCAAGCTTCGAGAAATATGCACTGCCCTGCACTGTGTCGAATAGGTCCTCAATGTTAGGGAGGCAGGCCTTATTCTTAATTGTTATTCTATTGAGTTCCCTCCAGTCACACACCATGCGAAGAGATCCATCTGATTTCTTCACAAAGAACACAGGAGCCCCATAGGGCGACTTACTCGGCTCTAAGAAGCCTCTCCGGAGCAGCTCCTCAATCTGCTTCTGGAGCTCGTCTAGCTCCGGCTTCGGAAGGCGGTATGCCGGTCGTGATGGTGGCGCTGTCCCTTCCGCCACCTTTATTTCATGGTCGACCGTTCGCTCTGGCGGTAGTTGGTCAGGGAGCTCGTCCGGAAATAGGTCGTCGAACTCACGTAGCAGAGCGTTCAGCTCACTTCCGAAGTGAGTTCCTTCCTTGTCACGGATAGGTGGTGGATCTTGGCCCGGCGCATCATCCTCCATAGAGACCCAGGCTATATACGCTTCGTCTCCTGAACGAATAGCGGCATTCGCTTGTGCTGCAGAGATGAAGTGGGATTCTGCGAACTCGGCGTCCTCGCCAGCTTCGTGGCCTCGAGCCACGAAGGTGTCCTCCTGGATCTGCACCTTTTTACTCCGGAAGTCGATCGTTGGGTTGTGGCGAGACAGCCACGGCATTCCCAAGATGGCGTCGTAGCGCGCCAGTGGCAGCACGGTGAAGGTCTGGGTTTCGCTGAAGTCAGCTACCACCACTTTTACTGGCCCGGCAGTTTCCAAAGGCTGTGTACGAGACGAGCCATCTGCTAAAGTGACATTCAGCTCCTTGGTCGCCGTGTCAGTCTTCAGGTTATGTCTCCTGACGAACTCCGACGACAAAAAATCGTGGGTAGAGCCAGAGTCTATTAGCATGGTAGCCCTCCTCCCATTCACCTTCCCAGTGACACATAGCAGATCGTGCTCTGCGCTCATCGCCACGCTGCTGATGTGCGCCTTAGGCGTAGCGTCAGAACTCTCCACTGCGGGATCGCTTGCGCTGTCTCCTTCCTCAACACTCAGGCCCTCGAACCTATTGAACACAATGAGTGGTGTGGGTGCCTGAGTATCCACCGCCAGTGAGCGCACTCCCTTCTTCACTGGCTGGAAGCGTTTGGGGAATTCACGATAACTGGACAGTTTCTGGCAATATGTCCAGGCTTCCTGCATGAGTAACATATGGGCTCACTCGTACGGTTAGATTGCTGCTGCTGACGTCCCCATGGACTGACAGGTTGCCTCGGTGTACTGGCCTGAGCGTGAGGTGCCGGACCCGGGTGCCTCGACCGACGAATGCCTGTGCCTGTGGTGGTCTGTTCCCTCCATACTCCTGATGCCTGCATGGCTGCCATGCGTGCGGCACGAATGGCCTGGCCTAGTGTTGTCGGGTGCTCCCGAAGAGCCGAGTGACCGATTGCTGCATGCAGGCCCCTCACGAACAGCACCGCCTTCGAATGGTCATAAAGGTCGTTCACCTGAAGGCAGAGGTTAGTGAATTCCTGTACGTATGCGTCCAGGCTGCCGCGCTGCACCAGTCCAAACAGCTTGAGGCGCGCTTCCTCCTGTTCATGGACTGGGCCATACACGTCGCCGAGTGACTGTTTTAGCGTCGGCCAGTCGTGGATGCAGGCGCCGGAATCCAATACCGACATCAGCCAAAGCCTGGCGTTGCCTTGTAGGTAGCTGGCAGCGAATCGCACCTGCTCCTGGTCGTCGTTGACGCGCTGTGACACCATGGCGAGCTCGATAGCGAAGACCCACTCCCTGAAGTCCGCAGGGTTGCCCGAAAACACCGGAGGCCTATTGACTGTCCCATCAAATTTCCTGTCGAGCAGTCGTTGGTCCGTGGGCCGTTGAGGTCCTTGAGGTATATCCGTCGTTGCGGCAGTTTGTACCCGTCGACGCGCTCCGTCCTTGTAGCGGTCATACCGAGCTAACAGAAGGGTGGCCACGCATACCAGCAAACAAAAAATCTCGACAACCATCCTTTGCTACCAGTGTAACCGTCCAACCAGAGCGATTCAGGATCAAGAGTAGAACGACTTTATTATACCATCAACGGGGTTTATATGGGACAGAAGTGTAATCCAAGGTGAACATGCAACACAGGTGTGATGTAACACAACGTAAGTGGGAACGTGTAGTAGGATGCACAGTGTGAGTGTGTGAATCTGTTACAGAAGCCGCCAATGCCAGTGACAGAAGAGTCTGACATTAGGTAAGCCTCAATTAGTTTGCCTTGACTTGTCTTGTAAGGAGCGCGTATCAGCATGATACACTTATTCTTATTTTTTGGGGAAATTTATTGTTGTCAGGCGCACTACAGCAGGCGTCGCACAAGAAAGACATTGTACTGGTAGTTATCACAAGTTTCATGCATGACACAAACAAATTTCTCTTTGCTCCGAGTATGTCTTGACTTATCTTGTGAGGATCGATGCGCGTAATGTTTTGTGTGTAACTTATTGTTGTCAGGCATAGCACGAACAACGTTGTTCTGTACTATAGTGCTATCACAAGTTTTCATGCATGACTCACATTTGTCTTTGTCATTTTCACTTGGATTGGTACGAGATCTACAAAGTATGGTAGGTAGTGTTCTGTTGGTGAAGAGAGCACTGCACACAGTTTATGAGCACCATGGGTGCATTTGATCACACCCGAACCCATACTTTATCGTTTCAAGCGATAGACTTTGTCAATAAACTCGTTTTCTAGTATACCATGGCATGCAACGTACAAGCGTGGGGTCAAGAAAGTGTACACCAAAATAATGCACAAATTCTGGCAGGAGAGTAAGAAATCTGTACTTTCTGACCAAGACATCTCTGTACTAGTAGGTAATCGAACGCGTCCTAATCAGTATTCATCCCCCAGATCATTGGAATTCAATTTGAAATCAGCAATTATGGTAAATTCTACAAGACCCTCCATCTTTGTATCAGTGGGCACTAAATTAGTATGGCGCGCGCACTGAAAGTGCAGGTAGGTACCGGTAGGTGCAATACAGCGCATATGTAGAGTAAATGAGTATTTGACTATAATAATTATTACGGTACAGCAATGTGGTATGTGTACAAGCACGAAGCACTCATCATACACATTCCATATGACATTCTGTGTTTGTGTAGATCTCTACGCTATGCGGCACACAGGCAGTACACACTATGTACACGGCAAATTGGGCAAGCACGTTCGTTGTCGTCTTCCAGCCTGCGTTGTGAATACCATCAGGCAAAGATATCCAAATTCTGCACCACCTCAGCCTTCTCAGGAGGCTTCCACCTGGAATTTGGCAGGGAAACTCGCTTCTCCAAGGCATCGAGGTTGCCATTTGCAACCGCTACCACCTCACACATGAGCTTGTCAACATACTCATAGCTCTTTCTGTCGTATAATTTCTATTTGGCCAGTCTTCTTTAGGGGCCGTCCAAGGTTACCAATAATATTTTCAAAACGAAATGTTTTCGTTTGTGGGTGGGTGGGTTTGACGGAGTTTCGTTTTGAAAATAATTATTGGTCTTTTTGGTTGTGCTGTGGCGACGGTTGACATTGACGTCGTCAAGAGCTGCGAGATGTGCGTGTCCAATCATCCCCAGAATTGAGAAACGAATGCGTTTGAGAATGTAGTTTGGCAGGACACTGTGATATACCTGCATGGCAAAAAGAATGTGGAGAAAACACACTTGCTTAGACAATATACTGCTGTATGAGAAAATGGAAACTTCACCGTACAGGACGACTCTTGTTCTCAATTGCATTGTTCGTTTCATTCCCTGTGTTGCCCATAAGAGACGGGAGCAAAAATGTTCAGCAGATGTTTGTTGTCTTCTGGCGTGGAGTGGCGGCATCATTAGATGTACACATAGTCATTTCACTAAGTACACCACTACTACAGCATATTTACTATCCTTAGGCTAGCGTGCGTGGGAGTGAGTTTGAGTATGTGGGTGCGTATGTGTGTGTGTTGTTGTGTGTGTGTGTGTGCACGCACACGCGCGCGCATGTGGGTGGAGGTGTGAGTGCATGTGTATAATATGTGTAGTTCCCACTGTATTCCTTGCACAATAGGTCTTCACTTACTTTTCTATCGCATACAACCAGAACCCATTCCTTGTTCGAAATTGGATTTTTTTTGGCCTGGTGATCCCGCAAGCGTGGAACTCGGAGTGTAATAATTTTTTGTTTCACTTTGCTTGCACTATTCCTAGGCTGTCCAGACTTCTAACAACTGCTCTGAGTGATATGGTATTCATGCAACCATGCCTAGAAGTAGGGTAGCTGTTATAAATAGAGACATATCCACGCAATCAACTTACACTGGTTCAGTTTGGCAGGATTGGTGAGACACTGAGTTCGTCGTGCATGCTGCCTGCACATCGCAAGCAAACAGTTCTGTAACCTTCGTACTTGCTGGGGGTCTGTCTGTTTGCGTCCCAGTTGATGACAGATGTGCACAGTTTGAGTACTGGTAGGGCGCAAAGTTACTGGGGTAATATCGTTCATCAGCTAGCTGCAGTCGGAGTTGATGGTGTGATGTACTCTTCTGATCCTGATGGGACGTATCTCGCCCTGCTTTCTCAGTTGCAGCTTGTTGAGTTCGCTTTGCTGGAGGCTCACGGTTCGGAGGGCACTGGTACACTGATGAGGGCTTTCCTGGACGGCGTACTCGTCAAAACTCAGCTCTCAAGTCCCTCTGGATCATAAATGCAGCGAGCAAACATAGCTCGTGCTGTGAAAATAGGCTTGAAATTTTCACGACGCATTGCAACATCTCGGCGCTTTGCCAGGTCTCCATCCTTTGGGAATCTGAGAAAACTAACCCCAGGAGGATGATGTGATACTGGCACAATCAACAACACAACAATTTGGCATTGCAGCGGCTCAGGCGACTTGGCAAACTACTTTCTGAAGTGACTTTCGTCCTGAAGAAAGTGATATTCAAAATCCAAGTATTTTCGCACCTTGCCACAATGACGTCACACATACATTGGTATGGGGCGTGGCTAAAATTGATATATCTCAAGAACGCTTTCTCGTAGAGACTTCGGACCAAGACCATTCGACTCAGCGCCCGAAACTCTACAGGCTATCAAATTTTCATTTTTTCGTGGAGTTCCCCTTTAAAAGAAGAGCGTTAGAAGAGGTTCACAACATATTTATAAATGCTGTGCTTACCAGTGCTACAACTTCAGATGAGAGCTGAGTCAAAGTGGAATTGAACTTAGTCATGACTTTTTGCTCAAGTCTCTGGAGAAAGGTTTCGATCCGACTGACGTCCTCATGTCTCGCTGCATGTATCCCTCGCTCCAGGTTCTTCATCTGGTCACTGACTTGATCCACCTTTTTTGCATACCTTCGGAAAGTTCTTGCGTCCAGCCACTCTAAGGTAGATACACACACATGGATGGTAAAACAGAAAGAAGATACCTTGTTTGAGGATGTGGCATATTAGTGCTGAATGTAATAATAGCGATGAATCCCAGTAGGGAGGCATTATGCATGTGAGTACGGGCAAAGTATAATACCTTCTTAGGAAGTCTTGGTACAGTGAGTGTCACATGTGAAAGGTACCACTTCGCAACTTGAGAAAAATCATCAATTTTATGGATGGGAGAATGATCAGAAGATGTTAATGTTTCAGTCCTGGATTATGGACTCACTTTGTTCACAATGGTGTCCAGTATACAGTGGTGGACAGTGACAATGAAATGATGACCCTCTTTGTTGACATGTTGCACCGTTCTGACATGGATTTCCAGCGCAGGATGGCAGTACTATGAGGTAGAAAAGGCAAGTAAAACAGCAAAAGATTCAATAAACACACAATTTCAAAACATTTTCGTGGCTGCGTCCCACCAGCCTGTACACAGCCGCAGGAAGCTGGAGTTCCGAAGTCTCAAGAGTCAATAAGAATATATTAAGTGATATCCGATGAGATGGCGGATACACCATTTTCCCAATGTGTGATGGGCGAGGCCCAAAACAATGTTCAACATTTCAAGTCACGTATACGGTATGCAGCAAAAAGACAGTGTGTGAGCGTTTTAGACGACGAATCCTTTCTTTTGGGGTGAAAAGAAATTTCACTGATACACGAAAATGGTTACCGGTATGACAAAACGTTCCAGTATGACCATCATTGCAGTTGCAAATGTACGACGAGCCGTTCTCTAGTCGGCAACCGCTGAAAATGCACTTTCCGGCATTGCTGCATGGGTGGCTTTGACGACATTGCTCAAGTTGCCCACCTGCATAAAACATAGTCAAATTCGAGACAAAAGGTGCCTTGATAAAGTATATAGAACTATCTATTTCTGAGTACCGGTGCTAGCAGGCAAGAGCATTCCTTAATGCTAAAAAAAAAGTACTTCGAGAAGTAAATTATCGTGTCCGTTCCCGAAGGGAACTCACGACGGCCGCTAACACCCGTAAACCCTAGCGGCAGATGCAGCGCCTAACAGTGGGGGTGAGTGGCTTAATGCTAAAAGAATTGATATACCAATTCGTGGTACAAATCCAATACATCAGGACAAACAAATCACGGATCACATGAGACCCGGCTGGAAGCTGAGTTTTCCTCATTTGCAGGAACACCACCACCCTTTTGGATCAAGACGCAGATGCTGCTCCTAAAGTGTTGGGAGGTGATTAGATCAGACCCACCACAAAGTGGTTAAAGACCGAAAATCCCATTCGCTGCATCCATGTTTCTCTCGTGCCAGGCCACGAGTTCCCAATTGGCAGGACTAAAAGACTACCGTAATATACTAACCGGTAACGAGCATTGTCAATTGAATGAAAAACATGACATTATTATGTTGCTCGCTGCCAGTATTAAAAGCTATTTTCACAAGAGCGGAACGTACATTACATAAACAGACCCTAGGCAATACAAACGAGACCAAATTTGCTTCAACATTACTTCAGTACACATAATTATACTCTGAGGTTGATGCAAAGCCAAACTCGGTACATACGGGCCTGGTACGCCTGATGAGTCACTGAGTCCCAATGTTTCACATAAATAGAATTGCCTGAAGGTCGACGGACCAGGGCTATGCGTGTGTAAGTTAACAAACATAGACTTGTATGTTTCTTATCAGATCATTATAAGTACACTGTGTGTGTGTAGTAGATCAAATCTGTAGACTCACTCAGACACTGAACCAACATATCAGCATTCTGCCTTCCATCTAGCAAAGCTGATAGGGATGCTGTGTCAGCGTTCGCGTAGTTGAGCTGATCAATGGGTTGACGTAGATTTGCTAGCAGGGTCTCTGTATCCTGGATGCTGAGGCGAAGAGCTGTAGATGGTAGAAGATGAAGAACTCGTGCCATACAAGACTTCTCAACACCTATCGAACAAACATTGAAAACAATTGGACAACAAAGGAGTATAATTGCTTTCATCCACAAACACTGAAACCGTGTGTGATTTTAACCCATTCAAATAAAAGACCCCACGGATGGGAAACCAAGAGTTTACCAAGAGTTTACTAGCTTGTAGTAACCAAGAGTGTATCTCTGTCCCACCAGTCCACAGGTAAAATACTGTTGGGAGCATTCGGCGACAACTAACATCGACATGTTAATGCTCTCACCTGTTTCATTTCCAGTACTGGAGCGGTCTTCTGTAAGGGTGGTCCTGGAGAAAACACTTGTGAACGAGACCGCCAAAAATAATGAAACCGATATAAAGAGGTGAGTAGTTGGCGGCAAGTTCATTTTCAAAGCGGCCTTCGATCAGCGCTCAGGCGCTTATCTACAAAAGGCTCGTTGTGGTTAGTCAGCTCAGCAAACGGTGCCTTTGGAGCCGCTTCAAATACAGACTTTTCACCACGAAGACAATATCAATCTGACGCAAATACTGTTGAGGAAATGATCTTGTACCCACTCAGATCTTGTTTTGGCTGGCGTCCCGCACCGCAGGACTGATGTGCATTGCACACGTACATGTACGAGTAGGTTCAATACCTCAAGTCACGGAGAGCATTGTCAACATTAGCATCATGAACCACCTGGTGGAGCTGCTCCTCTTTGATTTCCTCCACACTAGTAGTCTTGTGGTTGTAGACCTGCTGAATCTTCTGAATGGCTGTGCACTATCATCAATAGCGGAGCAGTACTAATGGTAGCAGTAGACTCTGCCAGAGCTTTGGAAAATGTGTCACACTGTATCCTTTTATCACGTTACATAGTGGAGAGCATTGTCAACATTAACATCATGAACCATCTGGCGGTGCTGGTGGTCTTCTTCTGTTTCCGCCATACTAGTAGTCTTGTGGTAGTAGACCTGCTGGATACACTGAATGGCTGCACAATATCAGCAATAGCGGAGCAGTACAGTTAATAGCAGTAGAGTCTTCCAGAGCTTTTTAAAATGTGTCGCACTGTTGCGTATCATACAAAGTCAATGGCTACCTCATCAATGACCCTTGCACCCTTGCATCCATGTCTAACTGTCCATATCTCTGCGAGCGTCAGCTGTAGTCAATTGTTTCAAACCCAGAGGCACAACACGAGCCCACCCTGTGCCAGCAAGTGTGACCATGCGTAACATTCTGGGCCATACTCTTCTTGTTGGTACAGGAGGAAGCTTATGCTTTGCCAGAAGGAGTAATCATGTGTACCCCTGCTGGTCATAACCCTTCACATGCCTCCATCATGCGACGATGCTGCTTTTTCTGTAATCAACTGCAGACCAGTGGTGCGAATCTCGCTGTGGGGAGCAACTTGACGGTTAAATTTATTGATTATCTTTCTCACCAGAACCTGCTATCCCATCTCTCTCATGTACTCCCCTCCCCCAACCCCGGAAGGATTGACGGCTCTTTAGTTGCTGAGACCATTGCTACAACGCTTTTCAAAGTCTCCATTGCAGCCAACTTCATGACCTCTAACACCCACAGCACGTCCTCTTCGAGATTGCACCGTACACCGGCTTTCTCAGACACACCCCCCCTCCTCCAACACCCGATGACCCGACACCAGCAGGCTTCTAACTAATTACTTGAAGTACAAAAAGCGTCTGTCCGTATTTTGATGGAGTACTGATACATGCTGGTCGGTTGATGCTCCCAGTCAGCCGTCTCGCCTCAGAGAGCTGCAAAGGTGAATGCTTGGCCTTATCAGCCTCAGTGTCATCATCAACTAGCCTGGAACAGTGGTCCCTGCTTTCTATAGCTCATGTGTGGTCGCTTTGTCCCATCTGTGTTGTTTAATTATTTTATTCGTATTTCTATAGGGCAGTCTCCACAGACTGAGGGTCTTTCACACCACCGTTCAACACCATGGACAGGACCACGCAAAAACAACGCATGAGCAAGTGACCGCTTATTCAACCATGTTCGATTGGGAATAAGCATTGCTGTTGTGAAACGACAAGTTCTCGAGAGTGAAAGGCCTTCTCGCTTGTGACATTGTGTTCGTTTCAATGCAGCTGTATCCCGACTCCGCCGTACCGCTGATGTTTACGACGTGGTATACGCTACAGGCGCTATGTGCGGTTTGCTGGGTGCGCTGTAGTTGTATGTTGTATGCGTATGCTTTTCGCATATACGCTGTCATTTTCACGCTATAACTACCTGGTGGTTTTAGTGTTAGTTATTCATTGTTTCATTCATTCATTCATTCATTGTTTAGTTAGTCGATGGAAGTGAAATATACTGTTGAGAATAAATAGTTGTCCTCGTGCCGTGTGGGGTCGTTCGTTCCTGACACTTTAGAGAACCAGAGGGTTCACAACAATTGCAGCCTTCTCGAACTAACAACAGTCGACTCACCGTCCAAAAAAACAGCATATGGGCCAATCGCGGTCTTGTGTGCTTTAATAGGAACGAAATGGCGCTCTCAATGATATTCTGCATACAAATCTCCATTTAGCAGGGCGCAGTCGCTCAGCGTCGGTGGAAGTGGCGAGTTTGATTGGGAATGAAGGAGGAAAGGAGTGTCTTAGACTCTTAGCTTCCTCGGACCTAGACCATTCAACGCAGCACACCAGCAAACACTTAGTGTATGTCTGTAGTGATAGTATGTGAAAGAAAGCCATTATGTTTGGTATGGCATCACAATACAGAATCAAATGGGGATTTGAACTCTCCAGCGTAACGCTCCCGAGGTGGAAGCTGTACTATCATGCCGGCTTGCGCAAAGTATGCTAAAATGCAACTCAGTGGTGTGATCCATTCATTTTGGTCAAGTACCACAGAAAGCGTAGTGTTCGAAATGCTGAATCTGTTTCTCAATATGGAATTACGAGCCACGTTGCGAAACGTCGTCCGCTATGCATCGTGGGGGTGACGAGTGAGCAGCTAGCCATTGTGTCCCACCCGAAACTTTACCGAAGTATAGTTCCACGAACGATAGCCCACAGAATGCTCATTTCATGGAATTACAAACCATTAAAGAGTGACATAATCAGATGGAGTACTCCACTGCCAGGAGAATGTGCGATGCCGCTCTACGGTAGAACTTTGAACTCAACCAGAAGAGGGGATGTATGAAGATATGTTGCAACTGCGAGTTTCGCGTTATGTAAGATTTAAAAGTTGTCCGAGATAGGTAGTCTGAATTTTAGGAGGATCGAGGCAAGGAGCGGAAACAATAGTACAGGCTATAGTAGCTACCCAGGCCAACGGAACAAGAGGAGACAAAAGGTGCGTACGCAAGTGCATGCAGGCCAGCTAGAAAAGGTACGGGAGGAGGTATCTAACAATACCATAGAACAGTGGACTGCGAGCCATTCAGTAGTGGTGCAATGGTCGTATACATGCATGAGATGAAATGCACCGCTGGAAAGACTCTGACTGCCTCGTAATCTTTTTACTTGTTCACATGATGGTCATGTTACCTCACCAGCACAGCCTATACATTTGCCTCCGCAGTTCTAGCAACGCATTAGACCTGTTTCTAAACCACTCAATTTCTCTACAGTAGGCTCTATCTTGCCGTTGTGTATTTTAAGGAATAAAAGTAGGAGCCATACATAATTCAAAGATATAGAGACACCATGAAACAGTTGTTAGCTACTTTGCATGTCAAAGACATTTTTGATAGTGAGACTACCCGTCAATTGAACTTCATCTTTTGCTCGTGAACCATTCTAAAGTGTGTCTGGTTTAAGCCATTAGTGAGGTAAAACAACATAGAAAACAGCTGGTAAAGTGTAGAGCGCTAGATGGTTAATGTTTAGGTGGTTAGTGAGAGAATGCGGGTGATTGTAGTAGACAGGAAAAGCACAGTATATTAGAAAGAGTGATTGTATTCTTGTAACCACGATGGCTCGCTGATAAGAAATATAAAACGAAAGCGCTCATAGGAGATCAATGTCTTGTATGGTGGCGGGGGTGCTGGTTATGAATATGGGCGTAATGCCCTGAAATGGTAAACACACCCTTAGGGCATGTGTGTATTAATATTATGTTAAACAAAAGCATTACTGGCTTTTTGGCACCCGGTGATTAAGAATCGAATGGCAGGTGGACTCTCCTGCAAAAGAAATGTATGGGTGGAAAGAGGTATAACATATTTTCAAAGATAACCAAAAGACATCATGAAAGAGGAAATCAGTGGAAACGTTTCAAATTGCAGAATGTTTGCAGTGGGATGCAAATGAGCACAGTGTGAAGTGAATCTAGCAGTACTTTGAGTTTTATCCACGCCTTCTTAGCTTCATTTCCACAAACTTCAAACTCTTGTACCCGCCATGATTGTACACTACACCAGTTGTGTCGCCATCACTACGTCCATACAATCCATTCAAATTGACATTGTGACACGCGATATACCACCAACCACCCTTGTGTGCATTAGAACAGTCGTAACCAGGGGCAGTGTCATGATCACGGTCTCGAGTGCTGAACTGTTGTCTATTGAGGTAAGCCATCCAGTTCACCAAGGTAGGGCTTGAGAATCCTGAAACGTGTAGTCTGTAATTGTTAGCTTCACCTTCAACACGGAATGTTGAGTACTGAACATAATTCTTCTGTCCAGTTGTCTTGAACACCATATCAATACGCAGTTCATAAGTACTACCAGCTTGTGACGTCAGATAGTGTAGTGTATCTAGACCCAGCCAGAACTCTCCAGCAGCTGATCCGAATCCTCGTTTGTATGCATTCCAGTCACGGTAAAAGTCCACTGAGCCATCTTGTCTTCTCTGAAACACAATCCAGCCACCTCCATCAGTCTCTCGATCACAGTATGCAGTGAATGTCGTAGTCGTTGTTGTACCAGTGAACAATCCTGATTGCCCGTGGTTAATTCGTTCACACGACGCATTTGCTGCAGGATAAACACAGTGGAAGGATGAGGGGAACATTAATGAATCAAAAGATACCATGACCTGCTTTCCAAACATGCTGCAACTCTTTTGAAAACCAACATGCATTCATGTACATGTACTTACATACTCACCCCGGTACCTGTATTTATCTGCCTATCCATCTGCGTGTACTTGGAAGTAAGCCAAGGCCAGGCATTAGTGAATAAGTGGAAATCAACACTTGAAAGAGTTACCGATCTACCACCAGTAGAGCAGTTCAAGCAAGAGGATTAATAAAAGGAAGTTAGAAAGTCCACAAGGATGGAAATAAACTAAGACTGTTTTACGTATTGAAACGCGTAGGCATTGTTGTGAACCCTCTAAGATTCTCAAAATTGTCAGGATCGTACGACCACACGGCACGAGGACAACTCTTTACCTTTACACAGTATATTTCACTTCATCGAATAATTAACAATGAACACTAATAACACCAGCTATTTATACCATGCAAAACAGCGTACATGCAAAACATACGCATATAAAACGGGAAATAGCAGCGTATACAGCAAAACCGCACACAGCGCATATAGCATATGCCATGCAGCAACATCAGCGGTACGGCGGAGTCGAAATACAACATTGCAACGAATACAATGCCATAAGCGCGAAGGCCTTTCCCACTTGAGAACTGGTGATTTGCAACATTCTTCCCACCAAAGGGCTTCTCACCGCCGTACAACAATGCACACAAGTCAATAACGATCCGGGGCTCTGACTTCGCGCCCTGAACACGGCATCTCCTGCTGCCGTGGTGGTGGTAACGGTGCTGACGGTTCAGACGCTGGCTGCTGAGGGACGATAGCAGGTTGAGCGGCATCGGCAAGCCCAGGAGCCTCGTCCTGTGACGATACTTCTAATGGCACTAACCTCTGGATCGGCCTCAACAGGGTACTGGTACTCAACTTAACCTTGGCAACACGACGCTTACCATCTCGACCAGAGAATAACTCGATGATCCGTCCCAAAAGCCAGAACTGCTTGCGCTTCGTATCATCGAGAACAAAGACAACATCACCCACAGCTAAAGGGCGCGACATGGTCTGTTGGTGCTTGTTCAGCTGACTTAGGTACTCCACCTCCCAACGATTCTTGACATGCTTCAGTGTCCGACTGAGGTAACGCAATCTCGATGACATCTGCGTAGCGTCCAGGGTACCTGCTGGCGTCTCTGACGCCATCCAGATGTTACCCATCATTATTGCAGGGGTTACTGGTGGCTCATCCAGGCTATCAGACACATAAGTTAGCGGACGACTATTCACCACTGCTTCAACCTCATACAGGAGGGTCTCAAGCTCCTGGACCTTCAGAAACGCTGTTCCCATTACCTTTTTCAAGGCACCCTTCACTGTACCAACCATTCGCTCATTGAAGCCTCCATGCCGTGGTGCAGCTGGAGGATTGAACATCCATGGCACACTCAAATAGTCAGATGCCGCCTTGAACGTTGTAGCGTTGTCAGACATGATCCGAGACGGCAAACTACGTCTCGCGACAAACTTCCTAAATGCTATCAAGAATGACTCAGTGTTTAAACTATCGACCACCTCCAAGTGAACTGCTCTGGTGGTGGCGCACACAAACAATGCTATCCATAACTTCGGAGCTGACTCACCACGGCGCACGTACAACGTACCAGCATAGTCGATGCCGGTAGTTGCAAACGGCCTCTCGTGAACAACTTGGTCTTCTGGCAGCGGCCGGCAGACTTCTGAGGCAGCCTTAGCCTTGTAGCGGCGGCATGTAACACATCGCTGAGTAATGTTGCGTAGCGCACGTCGACCACCGATAATTCAGAATTTCTGACGGATGAACGACAAGACTCCTTCTACACCTTGGTGCAACCTTACAACATTCATTTTCTCCAACAGCAACTCGGTCAGATGATGCTTGCCTAACAGGACTGGGTGCTTGGCTCCATACGCCAACTCGCTGTGCTGAAGTCGTCCCCCAGCTCTGAGCACTCCATGCTCATCCAGAAACGGTGCAAGCTGATACACCTTCGACCCAGGCTTCACTGGTTGACCTTGCTGGATCAGCTCCAGATCCTCAGCGAAACATTCGGCTTGAACTATGCGGTACAATACGTTGTCTGCTGCAAAATAGAGTTCAGCACGAGGCTCAGTGTGCTTCCACTGCAACATCCGAGTCACCATGCTCTGTGCCCTCGACCACTTACTGAATCGGAGCCACCATTCCGTATCAGATTCTCGACTACAGGTGGTGGTGGCTGAAACTCGTACTTCTACACTGGACTCATCTGTAGCTGCGGTTGAGGATGCAGTGGGCCAGTCATTGGGCTCCGTGATCCAGATTGGTCCGCCCCTCCAGAACGGACAACGGATCTGCTGTGCACTACTCCCACGCGACGTCAAATTTGCTGGGTTGTGAAGGCCCGAGCAATGGTTCCACACAATGCCGACCTTCTTCGATATCTGTTGGACTTGACTGACGCGGTAACCCACAACTTTTTTCCATTTGTACGATGGATTACTGATCCAATGAATGGTAGTGAGACTGTCAGTCCAGCCATAGACTTGCGTGACGGTCACACGCAGCTCCTTCACCACAAACTCAGCGTAGCGAGGCGCTAGACATACTGCTTGAAGCTCAAGGCGTACTAACGTGGGCGGAGACACGGGTGCCACTTTGGCCTTGGCAAATACCAAGTGCGACTGTCCATTGACGACTGCATACAAACAACATCCAAACGCTTTCTCACTGGCATCCGCGAAGGCATGAAGCGCAATCGGCGTGTCAAGATTGCAGCAAATCCAACGTGGTATGTCAATGCTCACCATTTCGGCCAACTCTCCCCACCATTGCGCACATGCGGCTGCGATGCCATCAGGCAACTTATCATCCTAGTCGCCTCCGATTTTCCAGGCTTGCTGTAGCAGTATCTTTCCCGGCACGCTAGACCTAGCGGATCAAACACTGACGCAACACACTTTGTTGTTGTTGTTGTTGTTGTGTTTATTTCAATTCGCAAACCAAACGGGCAGATCTGCCCAATGAAAAGGTGGCGAATGCAGATAGAAAGCAGTAATAAATGAAATTGGGGACTGATGTAATTAGGATAGAGGTGGAGAAAAACTAAGCCAGCTGATCATCAAACAGGACGTTTGGTACTCTAGGTACTAAGGGTGTGCGGGATCATGCTGGCGCGGAACTGGCGGAGCGTGGAGATGGCACGTATGTCACTGGGCAAGGTGTTCCACAGCTGGGCGCCCCGGAACGCGAGGCAACCCTTGCCGAACCTGGTGGAAGCTGGCGGTTGGCGCAGACCCATGGTGGAGTGCAACCTAGTTGGGCCAGCTGACGACTTGAGGAGGGATCGCCGGGTCCAAACAGACGGCCTATCGGACTTGCCTAGCGGTGCTATGCAGAGCAAGGCATCACTGGTTTTCCATTTCAGACCGAGGACTGAATCTCCGGCCTCTGGATCGCACGGGATTTCGTTGCCTCGCCACTTGCGTAACCCCATGCCAGCATCTGTAAGCACACGCACGCTTAACTCTTGCATCTCCTTGGCTTCCGAGGCATTTGAGACACTAGAGACCAAATCGTCAACGTAGAAACTCGTGAGCAAGAGATCAATACGATCTCGCTCTTTGGGTGCAGACAGCATCCGTAGCTCCTTCAAGTGATGCTGTATCACCGCAGTAAGCATGTATGGCGAGCAGTTTACGGCAAATGGCAGTTTCGTTAGCCTCCAGGTTAACAGTTCATCGCTGTCGCTTCGACCAGGCCACAAGACACGCAGGTACGGGCGGTCTTCGGGATTAACCGCGACCATGAAGAAAGCCGTGCGGATGGCCGCTTGTAGCGCGCTCTTATATTCACGGAACCTTAAAGGGGAAGTGCATCGATTTTTCAAGTAGGGCTCAGATGAAAGACAATTGGATATCGGTTCCGATGGTATATCTCTCGCTTGCGTACGGTAAGGGACACTTGCCATATCGCCGATTTCCCGATACCGTTTCCATGGCGCCTACAGGTGATGACGCACATTCTGCTTAGCTCCGTGAGAGAGAAGGTCGATCACTGCAGAATTGTGTCATTTTCAGTTGTCTTCTTGTATTCACGAAGTGAAAGAAGTACTGTGTTCAATGCTGTTAGTGCCGGAGCAGTGTTTATTAGTAGTCCACTCCGTTGTGTACTGGGACGTGACACCGACAGGGGAAAGCTAGAGTGCGGAGACGTTAGCTGGCAAGCGAAAATCGTGACGAACCAAGTGCTGAAATCTTGGTTGGGACAAATCAAACGTTCAGCATTTACCTCAACCAAGGACCATGCCGTTTGCTCTTTCCACTTCCTGAAGATGGATGCGCTGCCTGCTGTAGACTCTCCTATCTCTCGTAACATCTTCTGAAGCCAGGTGAGACGACGAGTAGCGGAGATTAGCGAACGAAATAATGTCGTATGTTTTTAATTTTTTGCTTAACATTTCTCAGCTGCATGTACAAGTGTAGGTCAGCCATGACTCGAGACAGGAAGGACCATTTGCTTTGTAGGCGTGAACAAACGCTGCATATGCAGCTTGGGGCTGTGACGAAGCAATAGTGCTGAGCGACATCACCTCCTCTACCCAGGATTGAACCTTGCGCTACATAAAGCAGCGGGAGTATTCTGCTGAGCCAAGCGCGGCTCCCAGATGCCGACATCCATCTGTGCGGATGTCGATTCCAGTTCCAGCAAATATGCTGGTGGCCTCATCCAGAACCTGGGGCTTGACAAGGAGGACAGACTTGGTCGGGTTCAGGAAATAGACGTATGATGGACCTCTCTCGTTGAGGCGATCCCACCAAATTCGTACTGCTTGCAACTTGCCTCCTGCGGCAGAATCATCCGCAAACCAAGACTGCTTGGCACCGTCTGTTGCTGCTTCTTCGATGAGGGGGAGAACACTAAGGGCGTACATCGCCATAGCAACCGGGTCGCCTTTGGTGGTACC